GAAAATCAAGGGCAGCTCAGCGGGAAAGCTGAAGTGAAAGGCCAGAGTCAACTGGCATCGTGTTCCAAGGTTGTTTTAATAATAATAAAAAGGAAAAATAGCATTTTGGGGTTGTGAATTGCATGACTGGGGGAGGGTTCAGAAGGAAGGGAAAGCCTTGGTGATGAGAAGGAGCCTCTGTGAGGCAGCAGATGGGGACTTTTCTGCCTTGCTGCTATTCCGGGTGAAGTTTGGAGGGGAGAGGAAGGTTTCTGTTCTGCCAACTGCTGCCCAAGTGCTGCAGAGCACCGACAGCACTTGAACATTAAGAGATACACAGCAGTGCTGGCACAGGTGGAGCCAGGCCCATGTGGGTTCCAAAGCCCATTTCCTTTCCCCAGCTCATAGGATTCCATTTCCTCAGCACAAACCCTTTTCCCCACATCTGGTGGGAGCCCGAGCACAGCTGCATCCTGAAAGTATGGATGCAGCCACGTTTAAGATGCAGCAATGTGGGTGAGCCTGCACAGCATGAAGCTCGGGTGCCCACGCTGTGTGGCAAAGGGTTAATAGCTAATTACTGGAGCAAAATGAGACGCCTTTCCATAAGGTTCAAAATGTATGCGTTTGCAAATCAGGGCTGGCAGACTATTTATGATTATTTTGTTAATGTTTCTCCTGTAACAAGCACAATTTCCTGGTGATTAATGGCTGCTTCATCTCCCAGAATTGCATTTATTTTATTTTATTTTTTTTTGGGAGAGGAGCACAGAAATTTGCATGAGAGGGGTTTGGGATGAGGATGGGGCCGAGGTGGTGGCACAGGCATGGCTCTGCCAGGAGCTCAGCCATGCTTCCAGCTCCCCTTTGCCTTTTCCTGCTTAAAACCAATGAGCAAAGGTTTGTCTCACCCGTCGGCTGATTCGGGTTGGTCACTCGTGTTCATGGCTGGAAAGCAAAATGAGGGCTGGGTTTGGCTGTGCACATCTGAGGGGTGCTTGGCCCACAGCCCCAGGTCTGCTCATGAAAGCTCAGTGGCACCTGGGTGACATTGGCTGTGATTTTGTGCCTGAAACATAAAGGGACACAGCTGCAGGGAATCACCTGCTGAGCCATTCCAGGCAGAAGGTGGCAAACTGGTCAACTGCCTTTTGATCAGACATACCTGAACCTGAAAACACAAAATATATTGAGCTTAAAGAACCACTTCTATAATCCTTAGCTTAGCCCTGGATCCCTCATTTAACCCCTCTGGCAGTGCTGGACCATTCCATAACCCCTTCTGAACCCTCCACCTAAAGCCCCCCTCGTGCCCAATGCTCCACACAGCAGCAGCTGCCAGCACGTGGCTGCCCAGGATTAATTTCTGTACACACGCCAATGGCTGAGCCTTGTGCCTCCAGAACAGCCTGCATTATTACTTTTTTTTTTTTCCTCCTATTCCCTTTGAATTGTTTCATTCTGAGATAATAATAATAAAAGAAAATAATAAAAGAAACAGAGCGCTCAGCAGCTAACTGAGGATTGATGAGTTCTGATCCTCTGCCAATGAGATGAAAAAGGAGGCTTTGCTGGAGCCATCAATAAGGGAAGGAGCAGACAAAGGATCCAGCTGTGCTGTGAGTAGTGGGGACCCAAAATGCCATCGTGGTCCTTTTGCAGGGAGAGAAATACCTGAACACACTCGTGCATGCACGTGCTCTGATATCCTTGCATACATGTAACGTATGCATCCCATAAAAGCAGAGACTCCTCTGGGCAGAGGAAAGCTCTAGAAATAGTTTAGAAGAATGCTCAGAAATGAATCAAACCAGCACCTTTTCTGCTTCTTTTAAGGTTTCTTCCAAACTTTCTTCCTCCCTCCTCTGCCCCAGGTCCCCACGTCCCCAATTCTGCCTCTGACCACAGCGGAGCCGATGCTCTCCCAATGCTGCAGCACTGTGAGCACAAGCAATGCTGTCTGCGATGGGAATCCATTGTTCCTGGGGCTCTGCTGGTGCCTCAGCTCAGCCCTGCTCAGCCCAAATGCCCGACAAGCTCTTTGTGTTGCAAACTGCCGAGCGCATCCTTTCTGTGATGGAGTTTGGAAGAGCACCAAAGCGGAGCTGCGAGGAGGGCAGGCAGCACCCAAAATCAAATCCAGTGAAAGAAAACAAACTGGAAAAGCGGTGTCATCCCCAAAGGAAGAAGTAATCAGGAATGCGGGACAAAGCACTGCTCCATCCTCTGCTCAGAGCAGGGCTGGCAGCATCCAGAGGTGACAGTGGGAAAGCTGAGCGCTCCCAAACCCAGAATGGCTCTTGTCGCCTTGGTTGCCATCAGGGTCCCAAAGCACATGGGCTGATTCATTTCCCACCTTGCTTTCTTTTAAGGAAAAAAGTCAGTGTTGGAGGAGACAACGCTGTGTTTTGGGGGCAGATCCACGGGGTTGTTGTGCCTTCGTTCTTTTCTTATCAAAACCATTTTACTGCTGAAATCAGAAAGGGGCGAATCCACGCGCTTGGGATTGCAGCTGTGGCCCTGCGTCGAGCACTGCAGCCTGATGGGTGATGCTCTGGATTAGTTTTTGAGCTCTTCCCATTTCCCCACTGGGAATCCCCAGGGCAGAGGAGCTGAGTCTGAAGCGACACAGCACAACTCTATGCTCTAACACCGCATCACACCGTGTAACATCCTGCAGCATCTTCACAGCTCCTTCCTCCGGGAGCTCTTGCTCCTTCTCTGCCATGCACAGGACCACGAGTGGCTCTGCTGGTTTATTTGGGTGAAGGCACAGAGTTATTTCATCCTTTCAGGCAGTGATAACTCATCTAATAGCCCCATTACATCCGGCCTGACCGCTGGGCGGGATGAGATCAGCTGTTTTGTCTGCTAAGAAAGAGAAGGATTTGGGGCATTAGGAAAAGGCGGTGATTTGAGAAAATAGCGGGGACTTATTAGAGGTAAGGGACTGGATGGTGGTGTAATAGGGAGAGAAATAGAAAAAAGAAGAGGGAAGCAAAGGGAAGGGGGGAGAGGGAGAGAGGGCGGCGTGGGAGAGATAGAGGGACAAAAGCAGAAGGTAAAAAAGTGGGGTGTGGGATGGCTGCACAGTGCTGGGGGATGCACAGCCAGGTTGTGTCCTCACGGCTCCGATGCCCTCACGGGAAAAAGGGAGAAAGTGTGGTGTTCTGAAATAAGCCAGAAAGGAGAGTTTTGGGGGTTGGAGTCCCACTCAGTGCAGGGCAGCTCCTGCAGCCCATCATCCCATGGGTGCTGGGGGGTTACGGGCCAGCCCTGCTCCACCACTTTGTCCTTTTATGAGCGAGAGGAAAGCATCCTCCCCAAAGCACTGCTGGCTCCCAGGAGGCTCAAAAGCCCCAAACCCCATCTTTTTGTCCCCGATCCAGTGGAATCCAGAGACGCAGTGAGGACACGAGGGCTGTGTTGCAGGCTGCCGTCACACTGGAGCTGCAAACATTTATCCTTGGAATGGGAATGAGGGTTTCAGCAGAGACCATTTGCAATCACGGAGAGGCCTGCGTTTTTTCTGCAAATGACTGCACTTGAAGAGTGATTACTTCATTTTAGCTCGATTGCTCCTGCAGGCGCTGGGGGCTGTGATGGCAGCAGGAGGTGGGGTGGGGATGGGAAGGGGATGTGGTCCCAGGGACCAAACCCAGGGCTCAGCTGTATCATGAGGACACAGCTGTCCCAAGGGCACTGCCATGCTCCCAGACCATATGCTGCTCCATGGCAGGAAAGCTGGCCCACCTACAGACAGCACCCAACTCCTTCTCCTCTTCCCTGCATGGATGAAGGCCCCTGAACGGACCTGGCTGCAGCTTGGTGGTGCAGGCTGGTGCATCCTGCTCTGTGCACAGACCTGCAGCTGGCACCAGGCTGGCACTGGGGTGAATCCAGGGATGCACAGAGCCACGTGCCAGCTGCAGACCTCAGCGGTGCAGAATGGAGGGATTTAGCTTTGATTTTGCTGGTTAATGACAAATAGGCTGCGCTGTGCTGGGAGGGTGCAGTGCTTCTGCCTGGTTGGATTTTACCCCCTAAGGATAAAACAAAGGGACTCGGGGTGCAACAGCAGCACAGAGCACGCAGAGGGAAGAGCTGAGCTGGATGACAGAACTCGCCCCCCCAGCCTTTGAGTAAACATTTTCCTGCTGCAGAGGGTGCAGATGAACAAGAGCCCTTTCATCCCCTGGCACTGCCACGTCCCTATGGGCCCTGTGCAGATTTTTTTCTGCCCTTTGGATGCTTTTTTTCCCCCCTTCCCTGCCCTTGCTGCACCTCTCTCCATCCATCACCACCTGTCTGATCCCAGGGATGGTGGCACTGCGGGGTGCCACCCCACCATTGCCACTACTGCTCCCATGCAGCCGTGCTGAGCGTTCCCTGTCAACATCCTGCAACTGCGCACCCCTCAGCAGCCATGCAACCCCAAGATGCAACCAAGCATCCCCCAATCTTGCACCCCCCATCACCCCAAGCAACAGCACCCAGGGATTCCTCCTATAGCCTTTCATCACCGCTGCACAAGCGTGCACCCCCTCGAGCCGCGCACCCCACCACGCACCCCCAGAACCTCCATCCATCACGCAATCACTCACACCCCCACCTGCACCCCCCGGACCAATCACCCCCTTGCGACCACAAGCTTGCAACTTCCCCCACCTACCAACCCGCTGTCATCACGCACCCCCAACCTTACACCCCCCTACACCCCTGCTGCAACCGCGAGCCCTCAGAACCGCCTTCAGCCCCTCACAACCGCTCACTCACCCCGCAACCCTCCCCCCCCCCCAGCGGGGGCGGCACCGCGCTGCCTACTCGCCGTACGGCCGCCAGGGGGCGCCCTCTCCCCGCCCTCTCCCCGCCCTCTCTCGCTGCCCGCGGCGGTGGCGGCGGTGGAGGCGGCGGGGCCGGCGGCGCTGACGTCACGGCGGCGCGGGGCCGCCGCTATTTGAGGAGCGGGGCGGACGCGCGGGCCCCGCTGCGCCGGATCCGGGGGGCCCGCAGGAGGCGGCGGTGGCGGTGGTGTCGGCGGCCGCCCCCGGCCCCTCCGCCCCGCCGCCGCCCTCGCACCATGCGCAGCGCCCGGGCGCTGCTGCTCGCCCTCGCTTTGCGGGTTTGCGCGTTGGACACCGAGACGCCCTCCGGTGAGCGGTCGGTGCGGGGTGGGTGGGGGTCCGGTGCGTGGTTACCCCTCACTTGGAGTTTGGGGAGGGCGGTGGGTTTTTGGGTAGTACGGGGAAACTGAGGCACGGGGCGGGGATGGGGAAGCGTTCCGGGTTCGGCTGCGTCGCGGCGTTTTGCGGTGTTCGTTCGCCGTGACCGCGTGTGGTGCGGGGCTGAGCGGCTCTGCGGGGAAACTGAGGCACGGAGCTGCGCTGCTCCACTCGGGATGGAGCTGTGCCCGCAGCTCCGGGGGGTTCCGCGCCCCGGTGGCAGCTCGCCGTGGAGGCGATTCGTGTGTGAAGCGCTGCGCTTTGGGTGGTTTGGGGGGTTTTCCCCGTTTTTAGCAGGGTTTGGGGCTGGAGGTGCCGCCCCAACCGAATTCGGGCTCAGCCCCGCTGCCCCAAGCGGTGCCCTTCCGACGGACCGAGGATGCTGCGGTTCGGGTCCGTAACGCGCGGGGCTCTGTGTGCCTCCCCCCATCCCATATGGGGCCGTTATTCCATCCATCCCATCGTTAATCTCAGCGTCTCCTCCACTCTGGGACGCGCACCCTGTGCCCGCGGGATGCTCCGCTCTCCTCTCCGGAGCGCACGAACTTCAGCGGTTCGTTCCGATCACGCCGTGGCTGAGCTGTCGGCATTGCGCTGCTCGCAACGGGGGTTCCGGGGGCGCATCGCCTTGTTGTCAGGTGCTGCAGGGCAGCGGGCACCTGCTGCTCGGCTCCTTGGTGTGTGGGGCTGTACAGGGTGCCGAGCTGCTCATTTCCACCTCTTCAAGGCTTCGATGCGGAGGTGCTCCGTGGGATGCGCTGCTCGTCCCTACTGGGGGCTCTTCCAGCAGCATCCCGAGCATTCAGCGGCATTAAAATATTTGGCTTTGGATCATTCCTTTAGGAGAGGTTCCCACACTCCCGGAGTGTGGGGCTTCGCGGCGGCCTCAGGACGGTGGCATTGGGGTGGGCTGGGCTGGGGGGAGGATTGGTTTGGCCTCTCCTCTGACCCCGCATTGTCTGCGCCGAGTGAATGGAAGCGGCTGCGTTCCCTTTGTCGGGTTTGGGGTCGGGGAGCGGAACAAATGCGGCCGCGTCGCTCTGTAACGGCCGCGTCCTCATCACGAGATAATGGAGGTGATGGAGCTTCGCATCCCTGCTCTGGGTCGGGACCCCGGGGGGCTGGCCTGGGTCGGGGCTGTGCTGCTGGCAGCTGGGATGCGTTTATTTTTTGCCCTCCTGCCTTTTCTTGTTGCGCTGTGAGGAATCTTTCCCTTGGCTGCTGTTCCATCTGCGTTTCTTTGCTTTTTATGCCTCGCTTGGTGCTGCAGCGGCAGGTTATGATGCAGACCCCTCGCAGGGTCCCCAAAAGCTCACAATGCTGTCCTTGGAATGCAGCACCCTCCTCCCATACCCCCTGTTTCCATCTCTCCGTATTCCCCTCTCCCCAGCAGCACTGGGGCACAGAGGGTTTTGCTGCCTGTGGAGGTGAAGCAGAGCTGGGGGGTGGCAGAGCTCGATGCTCTTATTTCAGCCCACTCTGTGCGTGCTTTGCTTTTGCTCCGGTGCTGCTCTCCCTGGTTGTTTTCCTGGGCTGCAGGCAGTGCTGGACCTGCCCCCCGTCCTGGTGAGTCACCTCCTGGCCCGCGCTGAGCATTTTTTCCCTTATCCAAACTAAGGCAAACCTTCCAAATCTCAGCTTCCTGAGGAGCATTCGCTGCTCGTAGCCAGCAGGATCCAAGCTCTGGAAATCAGAGGTTCTGATCCTTGCCTGGGCAGCAGCAGCCCCCCCACTGCCAGCCGATGGGGACGGTGTTTTTCCTCCAAATTGAATGTTTTCCCCTATTTAGCACCAGGAAGGAGCTTGCTTTGCTCACAGCCATTTTTCAGCACAGTTCCCAGAGCCCTTGAGAACCACTCCCCCCTGGGCTCTGCTCCCTCTGCCTGCTGGTGGCACCCCTTAAAGGTCCTCTCCCAGCTGTTTGCAGCCTTGCTGCTGGTAGCCACGAAGGGGTTAAGCAGCAGGAGCAGGTAAATCCCTTCCGCATGCTCGGAGCAGGGCTGGGGAGAGCCTTATCAACACAGCCCCGCCATCTGCCTGCTTAAACCTCCATAAATAAGCTTTTTAATAATCTATTATTAACATGCACTATAATTGTCTTATTAGACGTGTCTGGGAACCTTTCGTTGCTGTGTGATTAAATGTCACATTCTCAACCCTTCTCCTCCTCCTCTCCCAAAGGCAGCTGGAGGCTTTGCTCTGCAGCTGCCCCTGAGCACCGTTTCTGTCCCTGCAGCATCGTCCCCTGGAGCATTTGCCCCATGCTGTGGCACTCGCCCAGTCCCAAAGCAGTGACAGTGGGGAACCTGAAGCTTTTCTCTCCAGGGTGAGGAGGATTCCCAACGCTTTCCCCCCCCCGGGGCTGATCTCCTCCTTCTTGGCAGCCTTCAAATAAACCCATCCTGGACACAGAGTCTCTTTCCGCTGCAGATGGCCTCTTGGAGCCCCGCTCCGCCGCTGCCTGGCAGAGCTGCTGTTGGTTTCAGTGCTGGGACGCATCCAGATGAGGGTCATGGAGGTGCTGGGCCTTGGTGCAGCTGCGGGGCATCCTGGGGACACGGGGCCGAAGGGCGGCTGTGGGCAGGAGGAGGAGGGTGAGGGCTGGCAGGCACCAGAGGCCCTTCCCCGTTGTTGCTCCAAGGGCGCTGGTGTTTGCAGAGCTGTTTCCTGGTGCACGGATCCAAAGTCCAGCACTGCTGTAAAGCTCAGCCCCGTTCTCACCCACGGGGCTGGTGCTGGGGGCGCACAGACCCGCTGGATGCTGGCAGCTCCCAGCACCGTTCCTGCTGTGCACCATGGGGTGCTGAGCACCGACTGCTCTTTGGCTTTGCCCCGTTCCTAACAGCAACCTGGCTTCTCTCAAGTCCTGGAACGAGCGCAGGGACGTCGGGTTTTAATTCCCAGCAAAGCTCGATGGCTGCGTGTTTCCGAGCCGTCCCCCAGCTGCCCGATCCTAAAGCTGAGGAGCGGACATCGGATCCCAAAGCTGAACTGCGGACATCCCCTGCGCTCCGGGCGCTGCGCCGTGCGCGGCCGCCAGAGGGAGCGGGGACAGCGGCCCCGGTGCGTGGGGAACCGGCGTGGAGCCCAGAGCAGCACGGAGCAGTGCGGTGCTGTAGATGGAGGGTGTAAATGTTGAGGCCGGAGCGATGCTCTGAATCTGCGCTTTGTGATGTAGCTTGAAAAAGAGCAGGGAATTGCCTGTCGTGGGGTGGCTGCGGCAGTGCAAGCTTCACCCTTTGGGCTGGGAGACCCCAGCAAGCTGAGCTGATTGCCCGGGCCCCTCTGTGTGCGTGAGCTCTGGTGGGACATCATTAACTTAATGAGGGCTGTGGCTTGAGCTGCTGTTTGAGCCTCGACAGCACGAGGGGACTGTGGTGACCTGATCGTGGTAACAAGGCTGCTGTCCCTGCAGTGCTGCTGGTTTGACAGAGGCAATGGCACGGAGCCCCCGGGCTGCCTGAGCCTCACGTGTGTCCCTGTGCCACAGCCATCCACTGCAGTGATCCCAATCAGTACAGATGGGAGCATGAACTGCTCCAGCCCAGTGCTTTGCCTGCCCGCATCCCGTCGCTGCAGCTGGGGCACCGTGGGGGTGATGGCATCACAGGGATGATGGCACTGCAGGGATGGAATGCTGAGACTCAGCTGCTGCTTCCCAGTGAGGGGCCTTTGGGGGCTGCCTGGGGTCTTTCTGTTGCTACTGGAGCCCCGTGCACTGAAGGAGGTGGAGCATCACATGGTGGATGAACGGATTGCAGACAAGCAGAATTTCCTTGCTTGGGTGGATCTGGAAGTGCCCTGGGACTGCACAGTTGGGGATGCCCTGGGATACAGCCATCTGTATAGGGCTGGTGTCTCTGGTCATAGGGTATCCCATATTCCTCCCATAGCCTTTATGTGGCTCCGGCAGAGCTTTTGGCTCGCTGAGAACCTCCAAAGACTTTGGCACAAAATGAGATGCGTAAGTGGTGGTGCCTGAGGGGCTCAGCACCAAATGTGAATCATTTGCCATGTCCTGGGTTGGTCCACTGGGTGCCATGTGGGACTGCACCCATCAGCAGCAAGCAGAGATCCCTCAGTGGCCCTGAATGAATGCTCTCTGCATAATGCCCAGGTTTGGCTCACCCAACTGCAGCCAGGCGGATTGGGTTGCAGGGCCACTGATCCCTATGCTCCTGTGCAGGGACAGAAGGGGCTTTTCCCAAGAGCTCTCCCCGTGCTGTTCACTTTTTTGGGGTCTTATTTTCAGCCTAACAGCCGCCTTCTGCTTCCCCTTGCTGTGTGATAACATTCCATTGATTTTGTTTCCCAGCTGACAGCAGTCCCGCTTCGCTCCTGTGTTTAACAATCTCAAAGTGAAGCAGCACATCTCAGTGCTGGAGAATTTCTGGTTTTATCAGCATCACTCATTGGGTGAATCCACTTCTGCTGCCCGGTGTCTGCATCCTCAGCCTTGATGAGGTCCCTACGTGGCCAATCCTCTGCGTGGCAGAAGCTGCAACAGATTGAAGAGAAAGGAGAAGGGCGAAGCTGTGTGATGGCCAGGATGCACCCAGTGCTGCTGTGGCTCAGTTCTGCCTCTCGTCTGCCTGCCTGCAGCAAAATGCAGGGCTTGGGTCAGAGCTGGGGCTCGGTGCAAGGCTCGATCTTGGCAAGTGTTGCTGAGTCCCTGCTGTATTTGAGCAACTGGCTGCTGTGCATTTGGGAGCAGAGCAGGGCGCTGCGCAGACTGCTTGGCACACACAGCCCTTCCCAGAGCCCCTGCGTGTTCAGGAGAAAAGAGGAATTCAGTTCTTTGACAAATGACACGGACCATTTGCAGAGCAAACCCGGCTCTGTAGACAGCGCTGCGAGCAAAAGGAGGGAGGTATTAAAAGCAATAAATAAGCTGTTGGGAAAGGCAGCGGAGGGCTCTGGTGGCTCCGGATTTACAGTGTGATCACAGCAACACCTGGAGCTGCCAGCCTGTGCTTTGCAGTGGGACTGCTCCTGCTCTGCGTGGCTGTCAGGATGCACATGGAGCAGGGAGCCCTCCCTGCAGGCATCCATTGGTAACGGGGGGCAGGAAAGGCCAGATCACCTGGTTTTTTTTAGCCATTTCCCCCCCTTCCAACCCCCCCCCAAACAGCAGGAGGAGCAGAGCTGTCAGCCCTGAGGCTTAATTGCACTGTGAGCAATCGATAACTCCAGGACCGTGGCTTTCCAAAAGCCTGCCTTTGTTTTTCTTCCTTTAGTGCAGAAGAGGCAGCCCTGACTTTGTTCATTAAGTGATGGTTCGTTATGGCAGTGCCTGTATTGCAGCTCATCAGCCCACAAACCAGCCCCATACACGTTGCCTTCTCCCTGCACTGCGTTGCATTCCTGCCCTATTTCCTATGGGACCTGGGAGTGCTGCAGCACCTCAGCACCGTTTTGGGTCCCAGCAGTGAGGGCTTTGCAGGTGGGAGCCATCAGGAGGGTCTGCAGCACCCCAGATGGGTGACGTCTGCAGCTGCTGGTGGATGGATGTTGTTCTCCCAGCCCTGTGCCAGGCGCTGGGGTTATCAGGCGTAAGTGACTTATTATGCAAATCCTCTGTCTTAATATCTGGCTATTCTCTCCCTGGAATTGCATTGGCTAAGCCCCATGCGTTATTGGAGCTGCTAATGTTTACGCATTAGCTTCTTTGGCTAATGTACAAGGCTTCAAGTTGCAAATTGACGTTCCTTACAGCTGAGCAAATTATTTTTCTATTAAACGCAATATTTAAAATGATTTGGAGAAGCAAAACAAACTACTGGCAAGAATCTTAATGTCGCTGCTTTCCATATCCTTCTAACCAGCTTTGATCGGGTCCAGGAAATGAGTCCTTTTTTTATTTTTCTTTTTAAGACATTTCTATTTTGCCAAAATGGGCGATGGAGAGAAGCGGGGATTGGGATTGTGGCAAAATCTGATGTTTGTGATGCACGTGTGGCTGTTGTGTTCGTGTCCCAAGTGCTCATCTCCCTTTTGCTGAACTCAAGGGGCTTTTAAGCTGCAGAGATTCCAGCTGGGGGGGATTTGGGGCTGGGGCAGCATTGGAGCAGAGGTGCTGCAGTGTGGGGCGTTGTGCACCAGTGGGGTCGGGAGGAGGGATGCTGCAGCGCATGGGCTGAGCTGCTGCAGGGAGCAGAGCGAGCTTGCAGGTTGCAGTTCCCAATCCCCTGTGTCTGCTGCCTGCACGTGGGAGCTTCCTTCCAGCAGAGCCTGGAATCAGCACAGCCGGGTGCTGCTGTTGGGCTGGGAGCTGTGCAGTGCTGTGTGCTTGTGGCCAGGGAACGTGCAGCATCCCCGTGTGCTCCTGGGTGTCCCTGCTACTCTGCTGCCCCATCCTGCTGCGTGTCCCATCGCTGCTGTGGCTGGAGGGAACCCGGTGCCAGCTGGGGCTGACAGAGGCGCATGGGGATGTGGGGGGGTTCCAGACTCACCGTGTCATTGCCTTGCATCTAAGGGCAGAACTGAGAGCATCTTATCCAGGTGTACAGGGGAGAGATGTTGGCTGTTGCATTAACAGCAGCTCGGGGCAGCCTGCATTTGGGGCACAGCCCTGTTTCTAAAGCCTCTCTTTGAGGTCAATGCAGCATTGCTATGGGACGCCGTGTTGGGTCCCCATCCACACATCCCTGGGATGCTCCATAACAACAAGGAGAAGCCCCTGGAGCGTGTCCCACAGTGTTAAGCAGCAAAGGACATAATTAACATCAAGGCGAGAGGAGCACCGCCTCCGTGCATGGAAGAGGTGGGCAGGCATGCCTGCTGCTCCGTGTTCTCTTTCCCTCCTTCCTCTGCATGGATCCGTCGTCTCTTCCCTCTCCATCCCCTGGGTTTCGGGGGCTGTCAGCTAATTTGGGCTGCTCCAGCATCATCTGGGATGCTCAGAGCTGTTGGCACCAGGCAGTCGTGCCCACGCTGATATTTTAATCTGCTCTTGCTGCTTGCTTCTCACCTCCTCCAGCTCTTGGAGCTGCTCCTTCCCTGGCACTGAACCAAGGCAGGGGCTGCTGCGGGGGCTCTGTGTTTCCGTTTGTAAGTTTTTAGGAAGCATCTGGGACCCCGAGCAGCTCCTGTGGAGCACGAGCTGCTGCCAGCATCCTTTGGGTGGATAAAAACCATCCTGGTGCTTGCAGGTGGGGATTTTAGGTTGCAGGGAAGCCTTGCCTTGCTTGCAAGCATGCAACACAGAATGGCCTGGGCTGGAAGGGACCTCAAGGATCACAAATCTCCAACCTTCCTGCCACAGGCAGGGCCACCAACCTCCACATTCAATACCAGACCAGGCTGCCCAGGGCCCCATCCAACCTGGCCTTGAACACCTCCAGGGATGGAACATCCACAGGGCATGTTGATAAACCCTCAGTTTTTGGGGAGTGGCGTGAAGGTATCTGACTCTGTACCTTGCATGCACAGCTGCAGGAGGACACTGGGTTGGACAGTGGGATGTGGGGGTCTGGGAGCTCAGGTGATGCCATGCAGTGTGGAGAAGGGGCTGTGCAGGCAGAGCGGTGAGGATGCTCTGTGAGAGCAGAGATGGGGGATCCTTCATTGGGACACAAGGCTCAGCCAGCTCCACGTGCCTCCCAGAGCCCTGTGGCTCTCTGGGGTGGAATAAATCATCCCCACAAACAAATTTCTCCCTTTCCAAATACCCACTCAACAGACTTCAGACAGAAAACGTGCTCTTGGTTTTTTTTTCTCCCCCAAAATCACTTAGAAATTTCCAACACTTTTGCACTTTTTTCCTTTCCTTCGAGGGAAAAATTGATCACTTCTCCTTCCCATTGGGGAGCTGAGCCAGGTGGTGGGTGCTGTCAGATCCGGAGATGCTGCGATGGGAAGAAGCTGGGAGTGCATCCACACACAGCACTGCCACGCAGGGCTGGCACAGCACAAATGATCCTTTTAGTGAGAGGCTCTGAGAAAGCAGGCAGGCTCCGTTCCTTGGTGCTCTGAATGGGAGAAGATTTGCTTTTAGTCCTTCTAAAAGAAGTTTCCCATTCTTGTTGTTCTGAGGAGGAAAGAAAGCTCGATGCTGAGGCTGGAGTGCTCCCCAGTGCTTTAAACACTGAGTGTAAAGGGAGAGAAAAGCTCAGTTCTGTTCTCATATATCTTAAGTGTTGGGAAGAACGATTTTGTGCATGTCTTGCAGTAGTGGGTTTGGTAAGCTGGCTGTTTTGGTGCTCTTTGGAGATCTGTGAGGTCCCTGCCCTTCAAGCCCACATAACCCAGCACTGGGAGGTTTAATTTGGGATTAAAATACAAAAAACCCACAAGTGTCACCCTGACCTGTGTTCTGCTTTCCCACTGACCCATTAGGGGACATTTGCCTTTCTCCTCCTGTTTGCTCACGGCTTTCCTAACATGCTTGCCCTCACCAGCCCAGGGGCTTAATTCCCCCTGGAGGCCCTTCCTTGTAATCAGTGATTTTAGTAAAACATTGGGGCAGTGTTAATGAGGCAGCCTGCAACAGCTCCCCAGATCTCATTGTCCTGGGGGAGGATGGATGGATGGATGGATGGATGGATGGATGGATGGATGGATGGAAGGGTGGAGAAGGGATGGATTTGGAGCCCTACAGACCACAAATGCTTTGGTGCAGCTTTCAGCTTTGCTCTTTGCAAAGGGAAAGAAACAGCTGAAGGTGCTCAGAGGTGACAGCCTGTAGCTGGGAGTCCAGCAGTGCAGTTGCTGTTGTTGCTGCTGGAAGTCTTGTCTGAGGCTTGGCACTGTTGTGGCAGCAGTGTGCAGATCTGCTGGGCTCATGGTCTGAAGGCCAAAGCGAGGGCTGTGCAGTTGTGGGTTCTTGTGCAATGGCTGCAGCCAGTGCTGTTTTGTGGGGGAAATTCCTGTTTTAGTAGCAAAGCCTCTGGGAAGTGAAGCTGTGACCTTGCTCCTGTGCTGCAGCTCGAGTCGGATCATGGATTCATTTAAGTTGAAAAGACCTCTGAGGTCATTGAGTCAGCTGTGACCTCCCTGGGGCCGAGGCCTGGCAGCTCATCTCACTGCATGGCAGAGGAGGGGGAGAGGCACGGGGCAGCTTTGCTCCTGTGTTTGCAGGAGTGGGAGTGGGGGGATGGCTGGGTGCACCTCAATATTGTGTAGGGTGCGACAGCATCCATCCCAGCTGGGCTTCTGGGGACACAGCAGCTGCTTTCCGGGGCTGATCTGTGTGTCTGTCTGTCCGCAGCGGGCTGCACCTTCGAGGAGGACGACGATCTGAACCAGTGTGAGTACAGCCAGGGTGAGGATGATGACTTCGGGTGGGAGTTGGTCCGCAGCTACATGATGCCACACCTGACGGCCGACCTGCCCCACGGTGAGTCCCAACCCCAAACCCACAGCTGGTCACATGCCTGGGATGGGAATTGGCCCTGGGTTGACTTGATTCACCCTCCGTCTCGTGGTCGGTGGGATGCTGCTGTGCCCCACGGCAAGGTGTGATGAGCTGTGTTGGTCCTTAATGTGGCCCTGGGGATGTCACAGTTTGGGGACACAGGACTTGAGGCTGTGCTGCAGGGAGGCGTGCCCCCAGTCTGGGCTTTCCTTGCAGCAGTGCCAGGATGGTACCCAAAATCCCTCCTTAAAGGCACCTCTGCTCTTTTCTTTCTGCTGTATTTGATGGCTAGTGAGAAATCCCCATCTCCAGGAGTCATGGGAAAGGGAGCAGTGTGCTTCTGGCTCTTGTGATACGGGCAGATGCTCGTGGCTGTGAGCTGCAGGCAGCCCTGACGTCTCAGGAGCTGTGAGAGAAAAAAATGCAGAGGGAGATTTTTCTCTTCTCTTTTGTCTTTTTCACATCACTTTCAAGCCACTCGTTGTTACTTCGTGGGTCTGGATCCTTGCTGTGATGGCTGGGATGGGGGGACTGCTGTAAGCCCCCTCTCTGGGCAGTGCCCTGGGTGACATTTGGGGTTAAAGGGGGGTTGGCACATCCTGGGCACCCAAAGCAGTCTTCTGCCACAGGAATAATTACAGATAATGGAGATAATTGCTTTAAACTGAGCTAACCTAATTTGTTCCTTGATGGGGCTTTGACCTGGGGGCAGTGAGGAGGGAAGCGGAGCTGGGGAGGGGATGCTGGGGGTTGATGTCAGAGCCTCAAACCTGTAATTGGAGTTTCTGCTCAGTTTTCAGCTGCAATTTAAAAGCAGCAACGAAGCATACCAGTTTGAAGCCAGGGGGCTTGCAGGTTGCTGGAGCCTGCAGCATGGCATGGTGCAGCCCATGGATGTGCAGGGAAGGGGTCCCAGCCCCAGCATGGGTCAGCGAGCAGTGGGTGGCACTAGCAGGGTGCTCAGCTCCTTCCAGGGGGCTCCCCAAGGTGCCCCACCAGCACAAACATCATTGCACAGCTCCAGGATCCCTCCGGGGAGCACTTCACAAAGGAGTCTCGTGGTCTTGGATTAAAATGAGTTTTTCTTGGAGATCAGCCAGCTTCGAGAGCACAGGATTTATTGGAGCGGATGCTGGCTGCAGGCCACCCGCCTCTACCTTTTTTTCCCCTCTTTCTTTTTGTTTTCTTGCTGTGTTTGTTTTTCCCTCTCTTTCCATCTTGACTTGTCTCCCTCTTTCTCATAAAGAAGACGGATGGGGCTCTCCCACGTTGCAGTTTTGCTTTTTCAGCTTGTTTCTGGGCTGCAGCCACACTTGGGCTGAAGATGGGCTGGGATTGCTGGAGTGATGTTGGGATCTGTTGGATGGAGCAGGTGCAGGACGGAGCACTGCTTCGTGAACAGCATCTTTTGCTAGGTTTGCATTGCAAAGCATTGAAAAGTTTTCCTTCCAAACTCAGTGATACTAAAAAGATCCCTCTGTGGAGCAGCTGCTTCCCTGCTTGTCTCTTCTATAAATCACATGCTGAGCACTGGGGCTCAGAAAACTGGCCTTGATTTTGGTTCCCAGATGTGGCACCTCTGAGCCCCCACGTGATGGTGGGGTTGGTGCTGGGGCTCTCTGGGGAGATGCTCAGGGCAGGAGCTGGGTGCTGCTGCTCACCTCATGTGCTGCTTTGCTGCCTCTTTGTAGCTTTCCATTTTTATCCCCTCTTTGTGGTTTCCTGGGATAAAAACTGAATGAGATGTGAAGTTGGGGGAGGAGGGGGGAGAAGGGCTGGATTGTTGCTGGTGCTCCCAAAGCACCTGGTTGGGATCTGAGGGAGGGTTCATGTCCTCAGATGGGGAAGCAAGGCTGGAGACCTTGCAGAAGGACTCTGCAGGGACAGGTCCAGGGCTTGCCATACACAGCCTCCGGAAGCAGAGGGAATTTTGCAGCTCAGACCTCAGATTCTCCTTGCTGACAACTTTAACCTACCGATGTGCTGTTTTTCCCATTGGGAACACAGCCAGAAACTTATTTCTGTTTTCATTCGAGATGTTATTTAGCGCTTTTAAGACTCTTCTGCGTCTCCGCAGAGCAGTTGGGCTTCTCCTTGGAAACACACCTGAAAACTGAATTAAATTACATTGCCCGTGTCCTCCCAGGGAGAGGGGCTGCCCGTCCTGGAGGGGGTGGCTCATTACTCCTGGTGACAAGGCGAGGTGACAGCCCGCAGGGCTGGTGTGTCAATTAAAGCTGACCTTACATTGGATTGAACAGCAGAGAAAGGATTTACCAAACGAAGCACAGCATCGATCAGACTCTCTGCTCTAATGGACTCAGTGCTGCTGGGGAGGAAAGGTTTCCTGGGGGGCTGCAGGCATCCTGGTGGGTCGTGTCCCCTTCCTGTGGCTGCTGAAGATGCCCGTTTCATGTGAGGCTTGGGAATAATTCCCATTGTGCTTTTTGGAGTGGGTCTTGCTGTACTGCCAGCGTATGGACAGGGCTCAGAAAACACAGCTGTGGTACAGCACTGCACTCTGGCTGCCCGGCCCCGTGGCTCTGGGATGCTGCAGGGCAGGGATGCAGCCTCTCTGCGTTCTGGGTTCTGGCTCTGCTTGAGGCAATTAGGATAATGTTTAATTGCAAGCCCTGTGGGGCTGCACGGTGCGCTGGGACCGAGTGCTGCAGTCCCCGCGTGCTGGCATTGCCCCACTGCTGCTCCTGGGGGCACCCAGATGGGGCTGTGCTGCCTTGAGAAATGGGCTGTATTGAAAAACAGCCAGAAACATGCCGAAATTTGGAAAAATACCTGCAAGAAAGCCTGAGGGATGTTGCACCCATCCAGCCTATTGCCAGAGCGAGGAGGAGCTGCCAGCCAGGGCTCCACGTTTGGCGATGATGCTGCAGCAGCAGTCCCATCAGACACAGCTCAGTCGTTCAAATAACTCCTTGGGGGTCTAATTTTAGTCTCAGCCTCCTTATTTCTCACGTCCTCTGGTTTTATTTGTGGGCAGGAGGAAGGGCACCGTGTCCTGATGGGAGCCTGAAAGGTCAGGTGGGCTGAAGTTGCTTTCAGAGGCGTCCCGTGGGTTGGTGTGGGATTTTGGCAATAATTTTGATGGGAGAAAAAGGAAAAGAAAAAAAACAAAAAGCACCATGACAGCTACAGAAGGAATAGCCACACGCTGGCTTCCTCTCTCTCTGTGAAATGCAGCTGTGTTATCTGAGGAAAATTAAGTTTATTTCACCCTGAATGTCTGCCTGGAAGGGCTCAGATGCGGAGTGGCAATGCAGACCTGTGGATACAGCCCAAATTTTAGGTTTTTTGGTTTTTTTTTTTTGGTGATTTCATTTCTTTCCCCTTTTGTTCACTGGTTCCCATCCCTAAGGATGCGATGGAGGAGGTGCTGTGGTGCAGCGCTGCCTTTCCCCAGGTGCAGGAGGGAGCAGCCATGAGTGCAGCTCCCAGGCACGTGGACGTCCCCGTGCCTTTGCTAGGCTCACTGGGTGCCCAAGAGCTGCTTGGTGGGAGGACAGTGCGTGGATTCATGTAAATTAAACAGCGGTGAGAACTATTAATTATTAAGGGGCTGCTGTCAGGAAAACAATGGTTGACTTGGATTAATGGCCTGGCTTTGTTAGTTACAGCATGTGCAGTTATTAAAGTGGATGGAATATGAATGATTTTGTCTTTGCTGGAGTGGGTTAGAGGCAGAGCTGCCCGTGGGACCCCAATGGCTGCAGGACTCTGCTCCTCCATGGCAGGGTTTTGCTGTGCAGCCTACAGGGTGGGTGATTGCATTTTGGGTCCCCTTTGGGTGTTCAGTCCTTATGGATGAGCATCGGCACCTCTGGTGGCTTTGGGTTGCAGCAATGCCTGCTGGTGGGGAACCGAAGGCTCTGGGGATGGGGACAGCAGGATGTGGGCATCCCTGTGGGCCCATTATGCTGGTAGGCACTTTTATCCCTACGAGAGCCTGCTGAGCACAGTTTAAAATCAGCAACAACTGCGTGCTCAATGATACGAAGGAAATGAGAATTAAATAGGTCGGGTCAGGGTGGGGGCTCACCGCTGGAGCTGTGGGCATTAATGGGAAGCTGCAGGGTCTGCATCAAAGCCATTAAGGGCTTGGAGGCACGTGCAGTGCGGTTTGGTGTCACAGGGGGACAGTCTGCCTCAGCCTTCCCTCATCACAGAATCACAGAATGGCCAGGGTTGAAGGGGCTTCAAGGATGATGAAGCTCCAACCCCGCTGCCACACGCAGGGCCACCAACCTCCCCATTTCATAGCAGTCCAGGCTGCCCAGGGCCCCATCCAACCTGGCCTTGAACACCTCCAGGGATGGACGGGGCATCACAGCCTCTCTGGGCAGCTGTTCCAGCACCTCACCGCTCTCATAGCAAAGAACTTCCCCTGACATCCAACCTCAATCTGCCCTCCCTCAACTTCAAACCGTTTCCCCTCATCCTGCTGTTATCTCCCCTTTCAAAGAGTTGATTCCCCTCCTGTTTATAAGCTCCCTTTAGGTACTGCAGGCTGCAATGAGGTCACCCTGCAGCCTTGTTATCTCCATGCTGAACAAGCCCAGCTCCCTCAGCCTGTCTTCATAGGGGAGCTGCTGCAGCCCCCTGATCATCTTCGTGTCCCCAACCCAGGGCTGAGTCCAGGCACAGTTGCACGCTCTCCCTCCTCTCCCTTTCCCTCAGGCTCCTACCTGATGGTGAACGCCTCGCAGCATGCCGCCGGTCAGCGGGCCCACCTGCTCTTCCAGGCGCTGAGCGAGAACGACACGCACTGCCTGCAGTTCAGCTACTTCATGTACAGCCGCGATGGCCACAGCCCTGGCACCCTCAGTGCCTACGTGCGGGTGATGGGGGGCCCGGTGGGCAGCGCGGTCTGGAATGCCTCAGGCTCCCACGGCCGCCAGTGGCACCAGGCTGAGCTGGCCGTCAGCTTGTTCTGGCCCAGCGAGTACCAGGTGAGTCCTCCCCGGATGCCCTCGTCCCTTACAGACCCCGTGTCACCTGCTATAAATGTGCCTTAAAATCCCTTTGCTCAGGAGATGGGGCCAGCTCCAAAGGCTCTGTCCCGGGTTAGGGGACCGCTCCGCCGCGCCTGACCCCTCTGTTCTGTGCCACAGGTCCTCTTCGAGGCGGTGATCTCCAGCGAGCGCCGGGGCTACCTGGGCTTGGATGACATCCTGCTCTTGAATTATCCGTGCTGTGAGTGCAGGTGGAAGCTGGGGGTGCTGCTGCGTGGTGGGTGCTGCTGGGCTGGGATGCTCCTAGGGACTGCGAGCGCTGGGGTGCAGCCTTGTGGCACCTGAATGTCCTGTTGTCACCAGGGTGCTGGAGGTCCCATCTCGTTGGGCAGCCTTACCTCCATCACCGGCAGCTCCTGCATTGCTTCGGTTGTTAAAGGGCCTTGGTGAAGTGCTGGCTTCTGCAGGGATGGAGGTCCTACCCTAGGGGCATCTCTGTGGGCTTCTTGGGAGGGATCCAGGGCTGGGCTGTGCAGGTGGGACTCGAGCCCATCCTTTACTTGAAGGAAGTTGCCAGCTGCGAGCTTGGCTCCAACTGGGCAAGTTTTGGGGCATAAGATATGAGGCAGACGAGAGTCTCCTTAATACTTCTTTTGTTCTATGACAGCAAAAGCCCCTCACTTCTCCCGCCTGGGTGACGTGGAGGTGAACGCGGGGCAAAATGCCACCTTCCAGTGTGTGGCTGCTGGCAAGGCTGCCGAGGCAGAGCGCTTCCTCATGCAGGTGAGATCTGTGCGTGGCAAGGATTTGGTCCTCGAGGGCCACGTTTGGTGGCTCCGAGTGCCACGCTGAGCCCTCCTCATGCTTTTCTCTCCCCACTGGGCAGAGGCAGAGTGGCGAAGTGGTCCCCGCTGCCTCCGTGAAGCACATCAGTCACCGGCGCTTCCTGGCCACCTTCCAGCTGGACGAAGTGTCCAAGGGTGAGCAGGACCTGTATCGCTGTGTCACCCAGTCCAGCCGTGGCTCTGGGGTCTCCAATTTTGCTGAGCTCATTGTGAAAGGTGGGTGCCCACTGTCATCTCGATGCACTGCGCTCCTTCTCGCTCCTGATTCCGTCAGGGCACTGAGATTGAATTCACTCGCTGCAAACAAGTCAGCATGCAGTGGCTCAACATAAAACTGGGACGCTGTCTTTCCCACTGGCCTTAGTTCATTGATTCTTGCTTGCAGTTGAAGGGAATTAATTCATTCCGATGAAACTTTGTGGCACCTTAGTGAATGCCAGGCAATGCATCTTCTACAAATAATCAGATTTGGTCATATGGAACCTTGATGCTTCCAGGGGTTGTTAGAGAGATGCGTGGCATGCAGCACGGGCTGACAATTAATGTCTGGTTTGTGTTGAATACTCCGGTGTCATTCCCTTATCAGTTTTGCTTGTCCTCTGGGCATGCATGCTCCAGCTTTGGGATGGGGTGAGATGCTCCAGCTGCTTCTCCTCTCTCTTCCAGAGCCTCCAACACCCATCGCACCCCCCCAGCTGCTGCGGGCTGGCTCCACTTACCTCATCATCCAGCTCAACACCAACTCCATCATCGGCGACGGCCCCATCGTGCGCAAGGAGATAGAATACCGCATGACCTCGGGGCCGTGGTCAGAGGTGCACGCTGTCAACATGCAGACCTACAAACTCTGGCACCTGGATCCTGACACAGAGTATGAGATCAGTGTCCTGCTGACACGGCCTGGTGAAGGGGGCACAGGCAAACCGGGACCCCCCCTCATCAGCCGCACCAAGTGTGCAGGTGGGTTGGCTCCTTTCTGGGAGCTTATTTTATTGTTTTTAACCAGCCAAGCCTGACTGCTCTTGATGGAGGGGCTGTGGTGCCTGTCCTTGTGGGCGCTCCTTTGAGAGTGCTATGCCAGCAGCATCCTTCCTTATGAGCTTGAAAGCAGCCACCGGGGCACAGGGATGGGTTTGTCCCTGCATTGTCATCGTGCTGGTAACAGCAGCAAGCTGGGACCTGCCACCCCTATGCACGTTGTCCCTGTGGTGTCACACCAATGCATGGCAGGAGTGGAGCAGGAACAGCTGCAGGGCTGGGATGTTCTGGGCTGGAGCATTGCAGCTCTGGCCATGTCTGTGACCCTGGGGGCCTGGCTTCTGACATTGGTAGAGAAGCAGATCTGGAGGTGCAAACCCTCAGCAGGGTGCAGCAGCAGCCTGGGGCTGGAAGGAGCATTTCTCCCAGTTAATTCTTACAGGTGCTGCAAGTAAGACTGGGTTTCATGATTACCTCCAAGCTGATCAGAGCCGCTCTGTGTTCGATTTCCAACCGTCTCCACCTCCAGTCTAGGCTTCCAGTGCTCTTCCAGTGTGATACAAGCATAGATTTCACTCCTAACCTAGCGCATGGTGGGATCAAGCAACTGTTGTTCTTCTACCAGAGAAGCAGCTGCATTTCCATATCCTCCTGGATGTGCCAGCCATCATTCTGCAGCATCTCTGGACCAGTCCATGGTGGCAGTGGGCTTTGCAGAATCTGATCCAAAAGGACCCTGGAAGAATCCACTTAAAGGATAAATGCATCCTGCCCTGGAGCAATAGGAGATGCCCAGTGCTGTTACCCATGTTTGACACTGTGCCTGTGTCCGTGCAGCTGTGTTAGCAACTGTGAGCACGGGTGGCTTGGCACTGGCACTAATTGCATGGAAATATTCAGTGATGTTGGTGCCTGCAGACATCCTCGTTAGCTGAGCTCTTGCTGAATTGCTATTCGTATCTGTGTTTGTTGGCCTGGGGATGCTGGGCTGTCTGCTCCCTACTGATCATTTAAATGCGCTGGAATAAGGAGATGGGTTCTTGATGGGTGAAGAAGGTGATGGGTTGGTTGCTGATGGTGATGGGGGTGAGAATCTTCATTCTGCTAATGGTGGTACCAAAGCTGAGTCCTTGAACCAGGCATAGAAGGGACTCAGACTGGGAGTGCAGGCACTGAGGACATCCTTTGAGGAGGGCATCTGGAGCATCCAGTGAGGTTGCAAATACCTTCTGCAGCCCTGAGTTGCCCAAAGTTTTCCTTGGCACAAATCCCATGGAAATTTGCAGCATGGATTCTCCCTGAAGATCTGTTCTAGGATGGGCCAGGCCCTCAAAAATTCACTCTCATCATCCTTTCCTCACCCTTTAGGTCCTGAAAGGAATTAACTGGAGGTAACACAGACCACTCATATGCATACTCTTGGCAAGGGAGCTTGGCTCCTTCTATTTATGCAAATGATAATTAATTTTTTTTTACTCACTCTGTCCTGTTGAGAGTTTGCCATCAGCTTGATGGACAGCTGAGGGCTGCCACCTCAGTTGCAGTGTTGGGAGGCACACTGCTGCACACTGCTGTGCTCCCAGTGTCCCATTCATGGGTGAGGAGGAGCAGAGGTAGTGCTGGTGGCCTTGGAAGTCACAGGATGGTGAGGTGGGAAGGGTCCATCTGGCTCACCAAGTCCAGCAGGGCTGCCCAGGACCACATCCAGCTCGCATTGGAGAATCTCCAAGGAGGAGACTCCACAATCTGGGCAACATGGGGCAGCAAGCCTGTTTAGAGCTCAGGGTTGCTGTGCACGCCTGCCGTACTTCCACTCTATGAAGTCTTCCCCTCCGTGCAATCGAAGCTGCTTTAGCTTAAACACTTACAGCAATGTATTTTGATTCTGTCTCTCCCTGGCAGAGCCCATGCGGGCCCCTAAAGGCCTGGCTTTCTCCGAGATCCAATCCAGGCAGCTGACATTGCAATGGGAGCCTCTGGGCTACAACCTGACCCGCTGCCACACGTACAGCGTCTCGCTGTGCTATCGCTACCTGGTGGGCAGTGGCCTCAACCAGACCTTCCGTGAGTGTGCCAAGATGGAGCGCAACGCCAACCGCTACACCATCAAAAACCTGCTGCCCTACAGGAACATCCACGTCAAGCTCATCCTCTCCAACCCCGAGGGCCGTAAGGAGGGCAAGGAGGTGACGTTCCAGACGGATGAGGACGGTAGGGATAACCCACACGTGAAGGGTTTGGGAGGAATGCTGTGGGTTGGTTGGATCGTGATGGGGCGGTGTGTCTACCCAGAGACGTCCCCGTCCTGTAGGATTTTAGCCGTGTCCCATGCAGTGATGCCCATCTCACGGAATCACAGAATTGTAGGGGTTGGGGGTGTTCATGGAAAGGCTGGATGTTGTGTTGAGGGACGTGGTTTAGTAGGAGCTATTGGGAACAGGTGAACGGTTGGACTGGGTGATCTTTTAGGTCTTTTCCAACCTTGGTGATTCTATGCTTCTATGACCTCCAGAGATCATCGTGTCCAACCCCCCTGCCAAAGCAGGTTCCCTACAGCAGGTCACACAGGTGGGCATCCAGGCAGGTCTTGAGCATCTCCAGAGAAGGAGACTCCACCACCTCCCTGGGCAGCCTGTTCCAGTGATCTCGACTCATGCCCACGTGGGGAGCCTTCATTCGTCCCATACTGTGGAATTAAAACCTAGCAGCAATAGCAACAGTGATCAAAGCAATTAATGCTTTGCACTTAGGTGACTCCTTTCATCTGCAGAGCTCAGGCTGATTGAGTTGGCTTTGCTGGGTTTCTTGGTGAGTGCTGTGAACTGGAGGTCAGCGCGTTCCCAGCACAGCTTTGCTCAGCTTCCCTTTGCTTTTCTCCCATTAACTTTGCATTTGAGTTGCACACAGCCAAACTATTTGTCTTCCCCTGCTTTCTGAGACCCAGTGCCCTACCCCAGCACCAAGAAAAGGTGCATACCCTTCAAGCAAACCTGGTCTGGCTCTTTGGTCCCACTTCAATCTCTAAATACTAAAACCACAGTGATCACTTCATGCATCCTATCAGCATGCTGTGTCCTTAGACCTGAGCCTGCTCAGCCATGGGCAACCAGCTCAGTGCTCCTGATGCCTTTTTTTTTAATCTCTAATTGCTTCAGCTGTTTTCACTGTGCTGTGACTGCTGCAGCTGCTTTCTTATTGTATATTAATACAGTAGCTCCAGATGTTTTTTTGCTATACTGTAATCACTCCAGATGCTCCTCACTATACATTGATTAAGCAGGGCTGGCTGCTCCCCCCCTTGGACTGAACTTGGTACAGTGAGCACTTTCCATCCCAGGAGGAATCAACATATCTTTGGGTTCATAGATGCACTGCAAATGTTACGAGTGGGTTTGGCCCAGCTAACCCTATTCAATTTAGCTACATTAGATATTCAGTTTATCTAAATTAGCTAATGACAGGGTGTGAAGCTCAGCTGCTGCAGCTCCTGCACTGCCATGGCCAGGGCAATGTAGTGTCTCTGAAAGCTTGCAGAAGAGCAGCAGTGGGTGCCGTGGCTGAGCTGGGGGCTCTGCAGTCACCTCACTGTGTGATGGGGACATTCCCACCTTATGCTCTCCATCTCCATGGCACTGAGGTGTTCCCTGCTGCTTTTCAAGCAACCAGACCTGATAGGGACAGGCTGAAATCTTTTCCCCCCTCTGCACTTGATGAGGATGATCTGAGTTACCAGGACTGGTTGACAAGCAGCCCCACGTGCAATTAAGAGGAGATGGCAAAGACTCAATAATAGAATCTTTGATTGTGTTTTGTTTGAATCTTTTGTGCTTTGTTTGCATTGTCTGTTTGTGCATCACTGGGGCTTCTCTAGGTAATTACAGGCCTGTCAGGCTCACTTCAGTGCCTGGCAAAATTATGGAGAAAATTATTGTGGGAGTTACTGAGAAACATCTGGAAGGCAGCACAGCATTGGTCACAGCCAACGTGGGTTCATGAGAGGAAGGTCCTGGTTAATTAATGAACTTAAGCTTCTTTTATGGCAAGGTCACACACCTCGTTGACCAAGGAAGCAAATGGATGTAATCTGTGGTACAGTTCTGCAGGGCTCCATTTTCGGGCTGGTGCTTTCCTGGCTTTCCTTTCTTCCCTCACCTCTGCAGCAGCAAAGCAATGTGTTGGTGCTGCAGGGAGACGGCTCTTGCCCCTGCTGGCTGCAAGCCAGAGTAAATACGTGCAAATACAGGTATATGTGTGTGGCACAGAGCTTTGCACACTGCTGGGATCTGCCCACGTGGCCATGGCGTGTTTTGTACTACCTACAGGTGAGCACCCTGCCTTTGTTTTGCAGAAGAAATATGGTTTTATAGGTGCACGCATTCCTGCCCTAAAGATTCCCAGGAATTTAATAAGTGTCTCGTGTACACCTGTAGGACATGATGCTTCTGATTAGATTAACTTGTGAATCAAGTGGAAATTGTGTATTTGCACGGTGGGAAGTGCGCAGAAGGCAATCCCTCTCCCTTGGCTGTGTAATTAGATCTGAACAAAAGCTGCAAAAAAAAATAAAATAATAAAGGGAAGATGGGAAGAGCTGGCATCTGGGTGGAAGAGGCCCATGTGAGGTTGCCTGGCTCCACCTACTTGGACCCAAATAGCAGAGCTCAGCAAAGCTGTGCTGAAGGTGATGCTATCGGTGAGATCTTGCCTGGATTGTGTCCCACCTGAGGGCTGTTCCCAAGGTAATAACTGCTAGTGATGGTTCCCACTGTGCCTCCAGCATCCTGGTCCCACGTGCACTATGCTGGTTTTCTGGTTTAAGTGGGTTTAATTGCTCCTGAAATGAGGGGTGTGATTTTTTTTTTTCTTTTTTTTTCTTTTTTTTTTGGGCACTAAAGCTTGCAGCAGATGCTGCTGCTTGGAAATAATGGTCTTGGCTGAACAATTGCCTATCCTGCCCTCCTTAACAACCCCCTTGGGTTGGGGGTGGGGGAAGGATGATAAAAGATAAAGAAAAATAAGTGAATATCAATCTTGACGCCTTCAGCTGCTATTATTTGTAGTTGTTACTGGTGGTGGTGTTAGCTTGTGTGGAGAGCTGGGGTACGGTGAGCCCTTCTGCTGAGGAGGGAGGAAGGCTGCACTGTGGGGGCAGTGCCAGCACTCACAGCAAAGCCCAGTGGGACTCATCCTAACCATTTTCCTTTCCCAGTGCCTGGTGGCATCGCCTCTGAGTCACTCACGTTCACCCCTCTGGAGGATATGATCTTTCTGAAGTGGGAGGAACCGGTGGAGCCCAATGGCCTCATCACGCAGTACGAGGTACATCCTGAGCCCTGGCACCTCTGGTACCCACAGAATTATCAGAGTGCTGCAGGGAGGAAGGGAGCATTGATCCAGCGCACTGAAATCCTTCCGACTGCAGGGTTTCTCTCCTGGGTAGCCCTGCTTTCAGTGCCAGGACTGCTTTCCAGCAGCAGCTTTTCCAAACACACTGCCGTTTACCCCAAAACACAACAAGCACAGGCATCAATAATCCGCGTGGGTCCCTTCCGACTTTGGGATATTCTCTTCTATTCTGTGACATTCCCTGTGCTCCTGCTCACTCATGATGCTCTACTCTGTCCCTCCAGATCAGCTACCAAAGCATTGAATCCTCTGACCCAGCAGTCAACGTGCCCGGCCCGCGACGCACCGTCTCCAAGCTGCGCAATGAGACTTACCACGTCTTCTCCAACCTGCACCCTGGCACCACCTACCTCTTCTCAGTTCGTGCCCGCACAGGCAAGGGCTTTGGGCAGACAGCACTCACTGAGATCACCACCAACATATCTGGTAAGTGCTGTGGAATCTGGCTCTGAGAGCTTCTCTGCTCAGGTGCGATGGATTCCCTTCCTTGCTTTGAGGGTGCTTCTGTCCTCAGGGTGATGCTAGTGCCATGTCAGGGGTTGGGTGAGATGCTGTCTCCAAGCACAAAGGGCCCATCTTAAGGCTGGAGCATTTCGATCCTGCCAGGGTTGCATCCTGTGCTGCCTGCTGGACTTGTGGCATTGAATCCCTCACTGCAACCCCCAGGTCCTCTCCAAAACACAGTGCTTGCTGAAGAGAGAGTTTTGCACGTGCCTCAGCTTCCCCCATGCAGGCAGCCCTGCACACACAGGGCTGCTGCTCAGTCCTCTGTGCTCTCTTTGCAGCTCCTACCTTCGACTATGGGGATATGCCATCACCACTGGGCGAGTCAGAGAGCACGATCACGGTGCTGCTGCGGCCAGCACAGGGCCGGGGGGCTCCCATCAGGTAAATGAGGACTGCAAGGGGCTGAGAGCACGGTGGGAAGGGCAAGGCCATCCTTGCAAAGTTAACCTGTATCTTGCACCTTCCACCCACCCAGTACCTACCAGGTCATTGTGGAGGAAGACCGGCCCAAGAGGATCAAGCGGGAGCTGGGTGGGCAGGAGTGCTTCCCGGTGCCACTGACGTTTGATGATGCCATGTCTCGTGGCTCTGTGCACTATTTTGGGGCTGAGCTGCCTGCTAGCAGCCTCACTGAAGCCAAGCCGTTCACTGTAGGGGACAACCAGACCTACAGTGGCTACTGGAACCCGCCACTGGAGCCCAAGAAGGCCTATCTCATCTATTTCCAGGCCATGAGCAACCTCAGAGGGGTGAGTAGCTGTATGTCTCTGGGTCTCCTTGAGGATGCTGGTATATCTACTTTGCCACCAGCTGCATGGCATCCTAGGGGTGCTGGGAAGTGGGGCTTGCTTTAGGTCCTTCTGCTGGCTGCTCACCCTTGGAGCCCACACTGTCCTATTTAGGGGCTGTCACCCAGGGCCACGGGGACATGTTGGGAGCACAGCTGGGTGCTTTCCATCCTCCCCACAGGCTGGGCACCCCTGGGACATATGTGTCCCCTGCCTGGGCCTGGCTGCTGAGGCTGGAGGGGTCCAACCTCAGCTCCTGGTGCTGTGGAACAGAACCCTCAGACAAGAAGAGATTTGGGAGCGAAGAGTTGTCAACATATTCCTGGGCCACCAGTTCCTTGGCTTTCTGGCACCAACACCTGGATCCATCTGTCCTAAGCTCTGCCCTCTGTTTGGGCTGATTTCCTCCAAGGACCCTCAGGATACCTTTACCATCCTCACGTGCTCCAGCAGACCCCTTTCCAGCTGAGGCAGAAGCTGCCAAACACAAAGCAACAGGACCATGGCAGCATCCTCATCTCAGCTCCTGCACAGATCCACGCACTGGCTGGCAGCTCGCTTTTTTGCAGGGAGGGATGTGAATTTTGAATCCTTCTCCATTGGGATCTTTCACACCTCGCTGGGTTGTAATTAGAGCTGAGACAGGCTGCTGCATCTCGGCTCTGGCTCACTTGGGCACTGCTGGATGATAACTGGTGCTTTACAGCCTTCCTGCTGGGAGCCAATGGGTTTGCCCTGGCTGCTGTCAGACACTGAGAGAAAGCTGCATCCCAGCTTGGGTTTGCCGTGGATCTCGGGCCAGCTGGACCACAAAGCAGGAGAAGCCAGACCTGGAACTCTCTGGGATTGCAGCACTGTGCCAGCTGCCCCGGGCACTTTGCATGGACAGATTTTGGTTGGGCTGCGTGGATGGAGCCCATGGTGCTCCAGTGCTGGTGTCCTGATGTGCTGGAGGAAGCTTAGAGAGGAGAACTGCAAAAACAGTGGATTTCTTTTCTGCCAGAAATCAAACACATCAAGAGATGGAATATTTTAGCTGAATTCACAGCACAAATGCTGAGATTATTGGACAGCTGAGCTTGAAGCCACCATGGTAACATTAGCAGAACGTGCAGAGCACCAGGGATGGAATGTGAAGACTTTGCTGAATGACCTGGGATGCTTTGGCTACAATCTTTAGCTCACTGGTGATGTGCAGATCCTCCAAGAGCTCGCTCAGGATCTTCCCTTTGCACGCCGCTGAGTTTTGTTGCCCTGGTTAAACCAAAGGACATTGGTATAGGAGATGCTGGGGATGGATAATTCAACAGTGGGTGCTTCAACGTAAATCAATTGGAAACTCATTCAGTTTGAGGGCAAAAGCAAGCCAGGCTTGCATCCAGCCAGCCTCTGACTCCCCATCTTTTTCCTCTGCAGGAAACCCGGCTCAACTGCATCCGCATCGCTCGCAAAGGTAAGCTCCCTGCTCCTGCTGAGCTCCTTGCTCACTGCAGCTAACCCAGCTAGATTTCTTCTGCTGAGGCTGTGGACCCACAGTGCTGTCTTGAGATCAGGGATTTCTTATGTATTTAGCTTTTCCTCTTGCTAGAATTTTGCTCTGATGTATTGTAGTGGCTGTTGTAGGATGGGGCTGATTGTGCCCTAGGGATTGGGAGACAGAGGGATGTGCTTAAGGCACTGTGGATCTCCAGGCTGTGCAGAATAAAGTCCCTTCTTGGGACTCAGATGGGATAAAACATGCAGAGCATATCATGGGGAAAAATTACAGGGAAGAGACCTGGGTGTTGTTGGGCTCTGCTGTTACAGCATCCTTTGCATCCTCTGCACGTAAAGGAGACAGCACAACGCATTACATAGAATTCACATAACTGGATGCAGTGATATTTGCGAGTCCCTTCCAGCTCAGGATATTCTGTGATTTGATTTCCACATGCATTCATTCCACATGCACGGTGCAGCAAGGCATGTCTGCCCACGGTCTGAACATTGTCACAGAGCACATGCATCCATCCTGGTGCCCAAAGGAGCACTTCTTTCTCTTCCCTCCCTGTTTTTTCCCACCTGACATTGCCACTTGGTTTTACATCCAAGGAAGAGGAAGGTGCCCAGCCCTGGCTGGGGGTTACACGAGGAAGCTGAGCATTGAGCCTCTCATGCTTTCCCTTGGCAGCTGCCTGCAAAGAGAGCAAACGGCCTCTGGAGGTGTCTCAGCACTCAGAGGAGATGGGGCTGATCCTGGGAATCTGTGCTGGTGGGCTCGTTGTCCTCATTATCCTGCTGGGAGCCATCATCGTTGTCATTCGGAAAGGGTAAGGGGACCTGCACTTCCATCTGCCCGTCCTCCCTGCTGTAACCAGTGGATGCAGTGCTATCTGGAGGTGACTGGGAGCCCCACTGCTGCACTGGGTGGACTCCAGATCCTCCTCCCAGCCAAACTGATGTCAGTAGTTGGATTTGTGAGATTTCTTCACTATCTTCCTCTGTCACATCCAACCTATACCTGTCAGATAGCCTGAGGAGGGGCTGGCATTCAGTCTGGCTGGGTAGCAGGGAGATGTTGAGCATCTGGGGCATTGCATGGGTTGAAGGCATGGAATAAATCCATGCAGCTGCAGTGAGAAGGGCACAGCAGGAGGTGACCCTGGGAACCAAGGTGCAAAGTCCTGGGACGCTCCTTCACCCTGGAGACCCTGCAGCTTCAGTCCGTAATCACTCTACTCCGTGTTTTCTGGTCTGTTACAGCTTTGTGCAGCTCTGTTAGTTTTGTATGGACTGAAATGCTGCTGCATGGGGGATGTTGGGGCAGTGCTGAGCCTCACTGTCCCCATCTCTGTCCCTCTGCTCAAGGACAATGGGAGCAGCCCCATCCCCCGGGCAAGGAGATGCAGGTGTCTGCACAAGATATGGATGCTCAGCATCCCCGCTCTGCCCAGGCTCATTTTAATGCAGAAATACTCTTTCTTAAAGTAAAACATGAGCAGTAACATGCTGAGCCCCTCCAGCTTTTCTGGCTCTAAATGAAACATTCCGATTCATTTGTGTGCTGGAGGGGAGCTTTCCCAACACTCACCCATTGGGGACCCCAAACTCCCCTCCCATGGGGGTGTCCCTGTGCTTTGTGATCCGGGATGGGATTGTGGCCATGCAGCTGTTGTTGGGGAAGCTCAGCGGGATGGGAGGGAGGAGGATGAGGGCTTTCTGGGACACGCAGCCCCAGGAGCTCTGGGGATGCAGCCACTGCTTTTTGCTGAAGCGCAGCACCCTGGAAAGTGGCCTTTTACTTCAGGGGGCCCAAGGCAGCACTGAGCCGTGGGGGGCATTAAAAGCAGGGCTGGCACGGCAGGGGAAAAAAGGGCAGCAATTAAATGAGCTTGGGAGCGATGGGAGGAAAGTATGCTAATGGCCAGGGGGAGCGAAACAACCACAGCCCGTGCAAATCTGCAGATCTCTTTATGACTCTGTTTGCTTTGAAGGATTCTTGCTGGCTTGTGCCAGCTTGAAAGTAGGGCTGTGGTGTCCCATCATCACTGCAGCACACACTGCAGAGGTGTGCAGGGTTGGCCCGTGGCTCCTTGCCACCCTGTGCATGTGGTGCTGGGCATCTTCTGGATGGAGCAAACACTCGTAGTGCTGATGCATTTGAAGCCCTTTGGTTCTTGTGAGTGGTGCTGTTGGGCCAGCAGAGAGAAAACTGCTGCGTTTCCGTTGCCCTTTGCTGTGGTGTCCCAGCGTGAACTGGCAGAAGGGGCCACAAATTAGACCCAGTGTTTGAGGATACAAACACGGAGCTGTTGGAAGCTGGGATTAGCTCATCAATCTCCTCTGGAGCGTTTTGCTGTTGGGAAATGCTGATGTGGTGGAATGGAAATGTGCCCCCAGAATCCACTCGTCTGTAATGAATGGTGACAGCCAGTGTAGGTGACTCTGGCCCCATGTTCCCTGATGGGGGAAGCAACACCACCTCCCTGGGGATGGCCCAAATTCTCAGCACGTTCACTGTTCAGTCTCATGAAACGTGAAATATCCCCTGGGCAACTCTCTGACCATGGCTGCCACAAGAGCTGGTGCTTAGGCTCTGCTGCCAGGATGCCAGGACTGCTGTGGGTGCAGCCAGGGTTCTGTCTGATGTGCTTGGTTTTTCTGAGCACGGAGTTGGGCTGAAGTCCCTGGTGCTTTGTATGACAGCTCAGAGCTCCCCAGCCATAACTCACTGGTGTTTAGGGCATGTGCAGCCCATTACCTGCTCTCCTGGTATGTATGGAGTATGTATGATTTGAGGCAGTGCAGAATGAGGATGGCTCTTGGGGGAGGAGGGCTGAGAGGAAGGGGAACCTTCTGAGATGCTCGTGGTGTGTGGGTGCCTGCCTATTCTGTGCTCTCCTTCCCTGCACGCTGCCCTAGAGCCCCACTTTCTCCATCAAAGAAAAGCTGCTTGTGCAATTTGTTCCATTCTCTTTGTTTGCATGCTTGCCAGGAGGAACTACTATTCTTACTCCTATTACCCGTAAGTAATTGTCATTCTCTCTCTCCTCCTTCCCTCCTGCCCTCCTTGCTCTGCTGCTCTCCACTCTAACAAGTCCTTTTCTTTGTCAAGTACATCTTAAGGGCCTCTTTGGTTTGGGAAAATAATGCTTCTGAGCTCGTTAGGATGGAAGGCAGTGTAAGCAGAAAGGGTCAGATACCCAGCATGGCTGTGCTCCTGCTCGAATTCAGGGTTTTGGCAGCATCCTGCAGTGTCCTTTCCTCACCAGTGTGAGGTCCCTCGGGTGGTGTGGGCTCAGGTCTCCTGCTGGTTCTGCCCCCAGAAGTGGGCACTGAGGATGCACAGCTGGGACTGCAGCTGAGCCTGCAGGAGATGCTCCATACAGAGGAGCATCTCTCCCAAGCCAAAGAGGCTGCAGCTGGATTTGGGGCACCAGAATACCAAAGCACCAGGGGAAATAAGCTGTCCTGCAGCCCCAAATAAACAAAAGCTTGAGGAGCTGGTTTGGGGTCTGGCCGCGATGCTCGGTTCAGCCTTATTCTTTTCCCCTTTGCATTTCCCTGCAGCAAACCTGTCAACATGACCAAAGCAACAATTAATTACCGCCATGAGAAGACACACATGATGAGTGCCATCGACAGGAGCTTCACGGACCAGAGCACGCTGCAAGAGGATGAGAGGCTGGGGCTGTCCTTCATGGACACCCACAACTACAGCAACCGTGGTAAGGACAGGGAGCTGCAGCGTTCCCATGGCTGTGAGTGTCAGAGCAGCAGCGTGCCCCGCTCAGCTCTTTGGCTCTGACCACAGCTGTGCACAGCTGTGGGGTTTGGAGGCTTGAAGAGCCCCAGCCTTCATATCAGAGGGAGACTGATAACTGAACACCCACTGGAGTATGCGACTCGGCACTGATTTAGTTGTAAAATAACTCGTTCAGTGCCTCAGTTTCAAACATATGCTAATAACATCTGTTACAGTAACTCCAAGATGCTGCTTTACACGCAGCTCTTCTCCACCGATGCTGGATTAATATGATTCCTGGCATTGTCTCGCAGACAGTAGAAGCCCAGAGGGCAAACTTTTCCTCCTTTTAATACATCTGTATAAGTGTATTATTTTTCAGTTACTGTCCTACTGGGGCTCCTCGAAACACTCATAGCCAGGCTGGTTTGTACTGAGATTTTTCTCCATCTTGGAGCTAGAATAGCCAGCCATGCTGTGTTTCTTTTGGGAGATCCAGCTGTAGAGCTGGATCCTGCTCCCTCCTGGGCTTGGGCTGCTGTTCTGCTCTGCTGTGTGCTGCTCCCTGTCCCTCTGCTGGCCCTTGCCTCAGTTTTCTTGCATTTAAGCAAAGCCAGGACTGCATCTCATAAAGGGTCCTCAGTGTGTGACCATGCAGATCCCAGCCTGCATGGAGCTGCTGGCACACTGCAACACCCACAGTTCTTTTCCTATTAAGCTTGATGGAGAAGGGCTCTGTGTAGGCTGCGTGAGGAGCCAGCATAAGTGAGTGGCTGATCCTTGCATTTGAGCAGACCCCCCCAAAAAAAAACCCCCAAAAAAAACCTGGCAGCTCTGAGCGAGCCAGCATGGGTGGTTTTTAGAAGTGTTGTTAGGGAAACTACATCCAGGGCTGCACTGTCACAGCAGAGCTGCTCGCTGGCACTGTGAGATCTGCAGCAGCCGTCTCTCTTGGCAGCAATGAGGAGCATCAGTTCTCGTGCAAACCCAAATTTCAGGATCGTGTGTGCTGGCCATGCAGCAGCCCTGTGGGGTGAGCATGGGGGAGCTGTGCCAGTAATTACATGACACTGGCATAATCTGGGTAAAACACTGCATAAGCTCGTGCATTAACCCTCAGCAAAGTCCATTTGTGTCAGTGCTAGAAATAAGAGGATCGTATCCAGCAGTGAGGAAAATTAACCATTAGGATAGGCTGGGGACTTTGGCAACGCAGTTCTTCGAGTCAGGTCTTTAAGTGAATATTTATGCATGTAGCTTGTACTGGTCTGGATGCGAGGTAAGTGCTTGAATCAATGAGAATAAGCAGTGAGCCCTCTTAAGATCTTGCCCACTGGTTTTTCTAAGAGGTGTGCTGTGGTTCTGAGAGGTGTGCTGAGGTCCTAAGAGACTGTAATGGCCCTTGCCAGCTTCAGGCTGCAGGAACAGCTGCAGAGAGTGTGGTGGGGTCTGGAGCAACTTTGTCACCCTGAGAGAGACCAGTGTTGGGGCAGAGAACTGGAGAACTTCATTGTCCTCGCTTTGTGGGTGTGAGGGGCTGACAGAGACACGGGAGCAATGCCTCAGACCCTGATTATCTCCTGTGTCCCTCCTGGTTTGCAGGTGACCAGCGCAGCAGTGTGGTCAATGAGTCCAGCAGCCTGCTGGGGGGCTCTCCTCGCCGCCAGTGTGGCCGCAAAGGGTCCCCATATCACACAGGGCAGCTGCACCCTGCTGTGCGCGTGGCCGACCTCCTCCAACACATCAACCAGATGAAGACAGCAGAAGGCTATGGCTTCAAGCAGGAGTACGAGGTGAGAGAGCTGTGTGCTGAGTTTTGAAGGTACGTGGTAGGGTGGATGAGGACCCCGAGGTGTGGCATGGTGGTGTACAGGACCCTTGTACAAGAGGATGACCTGGAGCTACAGTGCTCTGGAAGGAGGGAGCTGGAGATCACAGCTCTCTGAGCTCCCCAAGTCTTTAGGTGTCAGCACAGGAGGTGTTCCTGCTTTTTCTGGCTGAGTCTTGATTGGGTTTCTGGCTGCTCTCTATTTAATCAGCAGCTGAAAAGCAAGGTGAGCTGAGGCAGCTCTGCCAGCCCTGCAGGTCACCCAGCATCTTCTGCTGGTGCTGGAGGTGCTTTTCCTTGCTCAGGTCCTCCTGGGCAAATGCCAAGCAGTGTCACTTCTCTTGCCACTTCTTCCCTCTCCCATCGACTCTCCCTGCAGTAAGCATGGACACAGACTGAGGATGAGCAATTTCTCTGCAAGCTGGCAGCTCCCAAGGCCATGCAGAGGCAGCAGGAGGGACCATCCCTGCTCTACCAGGGGAGGGACATCACCCTGAGGGTCACCACTTGCATCATGCCCATTCCATGCCATTGGGCTGCAGTCCTTGGAGCGCAGAATTCTTCACAGCTCTGCTGCAATGCACGTGGCCGTGCTGATTTCTCAGCTTCTTGGTGTCCCACAGTTCTAGCGATTGAAATTTCCCAGTGAAATTACTGTTTAATGTTGTTTCAAGTGCAGGAGCTTTTTTCCCCCCTTTTTTTTATGTATTGGACAAACCAGGGCTGGCTATAATCATTAGTGCTCCTTGAAAAGCTGCTGTATGTTCTTGGAACCTAGTCATTTGAAAGCACTCAGATATTATGGGAGGGGAGAAAACATGTAATTTCCTTCCACTTTCCTCCTCTTACGCCAATCTATGAATGTTACTGTTATTACATGCAAACCTGTTCCGTGCTGGGGAGAGAAGGATCTGGGGAAATTTAAAAAAAAAAAAAGAAAAAAAAGAGAAAAAACAAACTAGAAAAAAAACAAGCAATATGTAATTTGCTGGAAAATAGAGCATTCTGTGGATGCAACAGAAATGTAGAGCTGGCAGAACTGCTGTGGAATCGAGGTCTCTGCCCTGATCCCTGGGAGGGTTTTGGAGGTAGGGCTGTTCCCAGAGTCCTGTCCTCAGGCTGTGACAGCTGTCTCTCTTTGCAGAGCTTCTTTGAAGGCTGGGATGCTTCAAAGAAGAAAGACAAGACCAAAGGGAGGCAGGATCATGTGTCGACGTGTAAGTGCATGTAGCAAAGGCTTGGACACCCTGAACAGTGTTTTCAGCCTTCCAGAGGGCTGGGTTTTATTTTGCTTTATTGTGTCTGGTCCATGGCAAGGAATAAACAGATGGGGTTTGGCTGGTAAGGGGCAGCAGAAAGCTTCTTGCATAGCAGGGGTCAGGGCCTGGGAGCTCCCATTGGGCTACAGCACTGGAGGAAACAGCACCTTTTCCTCTTGCCTTCCAGATGACCGCCACCGTGTGAAGCTCCATCCTCTGCTGGGTGATCCCAACTCGGATTACATCAACGCCAACTACATTGATGTAAGCAGGGACAGATCTGTGGGGCTGAGCTTCCTGAGGGCATCAGGGTCTGTATACCCTGGAGGGAGCTCAGGAAGACCACACCACGTGTCCCTGAAGAGCCCTCCTGCTTTATGTCCGTCAGCAATTTGTGCTTGTTTCTGTTGCTGTCCCCTGCTGCTGTATCTGTCTTTCATCCTCAGCTTCTGTCTGTCTCTGCTTTCTCATTCCCTTCTCCATGCTTTCTGCATGGCTCCAGGATTGCTGTCCTCTGTAGTCAGAGGATGCAGAGGTGGAGGAGGAACATGGGGACGGGCTGGGGGTTTGCACTGTGCTGACAGGGCACCCCTGGTCCCAGCAGTGCACGAATCTGAGCAGAGCTTGGCTCTGGTGTCCCCTGTCCCCCTCCAGCAATGCCAAGACCAGGGGAGACTTGAGACTTTGGGCTCTGGTAAAGGCAAAGTGAGGGAGAAGACAGGGGCTCTTCAGGCTCCTTGGAAGTTGCAGGTGCTGCTTCCAGATCTGGGCCAGGATGGTGACCCTGCTGCTTAGAGAACGTTGTCCAGCAAGAGGGGTCTGATACCACTGTGATGGGCTCCCTGTGCCCGAGCAGTGTCCCCCTGCTTGTCCCTGTGTGTCCTTCCTGCCCTGTGGCTCTGTCCTGCCTCTCGAGCTCTGCCTCACTAATGTCTCTGTCTCTGATCTTTCTCTCTCAAACCTGTGTCCGAATGGGATCGTTCAGATTCGGATTAACCGAGAAGTAAGTAGATGGTTCCCTGCTCCTCTGCTCCTGGCCGTGGGGCCGTTGCTCCACATGAAGGTGTAAAATTGCACCTGTGAGAGGCAGGCTTGGTAAAACACATGGAAAGATTGGGGACAGGGAGAGAGGTGAGGTCTCCAGCTTCTGCCACTGTCACCTCCATGTGTGTGATATATGGGAACAATGGCCAAGGCTGCTGGCAGGAATGGGACACCTGGTGCCCATGGGTCCCTGTGGCACTGGGAAATGCTCTGCTGCTTGGGCTGACGTGTCTGTGTTGAGAGCCAGTGATGCTCGCACTGCTATGGGATGCAGGAGGGGAGTGGGGCCATCACCCCGTGCCATGTGGCTGCTGCAAGCTGGGATGTGTATTATTCGTTGAGCTCTTGTGACAGTGTGGCCACACCTCAGTTTGGGGTGTTTTGGAGGTGCTGGTCTGCAAACAGATGCAGACTTGGGTTGGGGGGTGTCACACCCTTTGCTGAGTCATAGGATGTGATCCAGGCTAGCAAGGAATGCTGCAGCAGCATTGTGCTGGTGGCACAGCTGATCTGAGCACCTGCTACTGCTGGCCAGGAAGGGTTTTGTTGGGCAGTGTTTGAGTGCCCCATGTCCTGTCCATTGGGCCTGACACCTCTGCTTCTCTTGCAGGGTTACCACAGGTCCAACCACTTCATTGCCACCCAAGGTGAGTTGTCCCTTCTCTCTTTGCTCTCTGCAAGCAGTGATTTCAGCAGCCAGATTTTGTCCCTGGGTTATTTGGTCTTGTCTTTGCGAGAAAAGGGAGAAACAGTCTAATCTGAGGACATATGGGGCAGTAGCAAAGCAGACTTGCCAGAGGACCACATTTTCCTTATGTCCACAGGTCCCAAGCAGGAGATGGTGTACGACTTCTGGCGCATGGTGTGGCAGGAGCACTGTTCCAGCATCGTGATGATAACCAAGCTGGTGGAAGTGGGCCGGGTAAGGGTCTCCTTTGCTCTGTTTGCCTCCAGGCTCTGGCTCTGCAACATGCTCTGCAGGAGCCAAAAATCCACCCCGTCCTTTTCTTGCAGGTGAAATGCTCCAAATACTGGCCGGATGACTCGGAGATGTATGGGGACATCAAGATCACCTTGATGAAGTCAGAGATGCTGGCAGAGTACGCCGTGCGGACCTTTGCTCTCGAGAGGGTACGCTCCCTGCCCACACCAGCCCATGCAAAGAGAAACCTTGAGCATTTTTAACCATTCCTTGTTGGCATTTACCAATACCCTGCTTATTTACCCCAGCATGGGGTTTTCTCCACCTTTTGGAGGAGCCACCCCCAGTTGTGTCCTCCCTTTGCACTTTCTGTTGCAAGCCTGGTCCTGGCTCTGCCCTCAGCTCATGCATGTGGCTCAGGGTGAGCACTGTGTAATTGCAAAGGAGGATAAGTGTGCTTTTTCCCCTCCAGGCTGCAATGTGGGTAATGTGGCAGTCAGTTTCCAGCATGGTACCTGGGGATGGAGCCAATGCAATTCACCTCTTAATGTGCAGGAATGTGAAATCACTGTCTGGTTAGGAGGCAGGTAGCAAAGATGCTTGTGGAACAGATCCAGGGTGCCTCGGGGCTGCTGTCTTCTCTGCTCATTTTTAACCCTCTTGTATCTGAGGAGCAGAGAGCCATAGGGCTCCTCAAGTGACTCATCACAATGAGGCTGGGGAAATGTTTGATTCCTAAGGAAATGGGATGGCCAGGAGTCGGGGCAGGATTTTGCCCTCCTTGCTATTCTCAATAGCATCCCTTCTGTAGGTCTTTAACCCCAAGGCTTTTCACAAGGTAGCTGAGAAGCTCAGGGGCTCTTTGTGATGCATCCTCCCCATTGCAATTGCCACATCAATCTGTCTGCCCCATGCCCACGTGCTGTATTGCCCTCCCTTGCAGCGAGGTTACTCAGCCCGGCACGAGGTGAAGCAGTTCCACTTCACATCCTGGCCTGAGCACGGTGTCCCCTATCACGCCACGGGGCTGCTGGCCTTCATCCGCCGTGTGAAGGCATCCACACCACCCGATGCTGGCCCCATCGTCATCCACTGCAGGTGGGCATGAGGACCATCCCCATCCGGGGTGGGTTTTGGGGGTGTTGGGTTATGCGTGCGGCAGCAAGACGTGTTTACAGGTGAGTGCTCAGCCTTTGAAAAGCTCGGAGTTACCCTGAAATATTTAGCAGGGAAAAATGGAGATGGGTAATTGAAAGGAAGAGCTGAGGCAGGGATGGAGATGGGGTTTGTTGTCAGGGTCGAGCTGTCATCCCCAGGGCTGTGGGTTGGCGGTGGTATGGGAGGATGGCTGGCATGGCCACTGGTGATGGCTGTATGGAAATACTGCATTTGCTCAAAGGGGAGGAGCAGAGCTGGATGCTGTTCCCCATCCCTGCAGGGTGTCCCTGGTTCAGCTGAGGGAAAGCAGAGCAGAGCTGTGATTTTTTTTCCATCCTCGTGCAGGCGTCCCCGTGTGACAGGTTAATGGCTCTTCCTCTGCTGGGCAAACAAGGAAGATCTGATGAACGGGAGGGATTTTTTTATTTGATTTCTCCCTGTCAATTGCCTCATCAGTATTCATTCACTGGCAACAGCGAGTGTGATTAGCTCCTGTAGTCTGTAATCACTGATAATCACGACGAATGATTCATCAGCCCCAGAAATTAGGATTTCACTGCAGAAGACTTTGTGGGAAAGGAGCAGGGGGGCAGCTCTGTGCTGGGGGGCTCAAAGGGCTCAACCTCTGTCACATTTTGGCTGCATGTGGGAAAGTGTCAGGATTTGGGCTGCTGCCTGGTCTGGGTGCAGGCATAGTGTTCTGTTCAGCCGTGCATCGGGCTTTGGTGCTGAGCATCCTTTGGGAGGGAACTGTTGGCACTCAGGTGTTTATTGCAAAGAGCATCGATTGCAGCTGTGCTCAAGCACTCATTACCCTTTGCTGTGAGCTCCTCCCCTCCCCTGCACAGCAACATGTGGATGCGGATGGATGGGGTGGATGCAGGGAAAACCAGGCTGAGGGCTGTGTATGGAGGTGTGTGCCATCCTCCAGCCCTGTGCAGACCTCGCTGGTGCCTGGGGCTTTGTGTGGTGCGGTATGGTCTGGGTGTACATGAGCTTTGTTTTTCTCTTCCCCAGTGCTGGCACGGGGAGAACTGGCTGCTACATCGTTCTGGATGTCATGTTGGACATGGCCGAGTGTGAGGGTGTTGTGGACATCTACAACTGTGTGAAGACACTGTGCTCACGGAGGATCAACATGATACAGACAGAGGTGAGTAGGGTTGGTGCATCCTTCTGCTGATGCCAGAGCCAAGAAAGGCTGTAAAGCACTTCCAGCCCAACCTGAGGTCGTATCTCATAGAAAGCCAGCACCCATCTCATTGCTTTTCAGCCTTTGGAGGGTGGTTTGCTTTGAGCTGGCAGAGCTGTATCAGAAGAACTTGAGGGTGTTTTGCTCCCTGCAAGCTGCCCTGGCTTTGCACAAATTCATCTTGCAGAGAAGGGGTTGGGTGATGGGAGAAGGGGAACCTCCTGTGCGTGATGCCCAGCTCAGCCTCTTCCTTTCCCCACAGGAGCAGTACGTCTTCATCCACGATGCCATCCTGGAAGCCTGCCTGTGTGGTGAAACCAGCATCCCTGCCAGCGAGTTCAAGCCCACCTACAAGGAGATGGTGAGGATTGAGCCGCAGAGCAATTCCTCACAGCTGCGGGAGGAGTTCCAGGTGAGTGACCCCAGAACCAACACATCCCCCCCCCCCCTCCATTCTCCCAGCTGAGCCAAGAGGGGATTTGGGGTTTGGCTCCAGCAAGGAGGATGGAGCTAAGAGGAGACTGTGTGCCCACAGACCTTGAACTCGGTGACTCCCCACTTGGATGTGGAAGAGTGCAGCATCGCCCTCCTGCCCCGCAACAGGGAGAGGAACCGCAGCATGGACGTCCTGCCGCCGGACCGATGCCTTCCCTTCCTCATCTCTGTGGATGGGGACAGCAACAACTACATCAACGCGGCCTTAACTGATGTACGTGTTGCTCTGTGGAGAAGGAAGGGGCTGGCTTGGGTTTAGGGTCCTCGTGCCATGCTGTGAACATCCTTGGGTGGTGTGCAGGCTTGGAGGCGGGGATGCGGTGAGCCTCAGTGTCCTTCTGGGTGGAAATGCTGAGTTGCTTGGGCTGCTGACCCTTGGGTGTGAGGGATCTGGGCTTGCAAAGGGGATGTGGGGAAGCCTGGTGCAGTTTTGGCATTTGCTGCCTATCCTGCAGAGCAGCCAGCGCCCATGCGGCCTGCAAAACACAGCCTGAGCCCCATTTCAGTACAGGAGTGGGCATGCTCATGGGGTTGTTGTAAGCTGAGGGGTGGCTTTTCATGCCAAACCTTGCTCAGCATGAATTCACAGCCTCATTTTGTACAAATGCACAAAGATGTCGGTACATGTCAACCCCAGCCTGCAGAGGGAGGGCAGGGACCTCCATAGCAGGGTCCCTCACCCCATCTTTGTGCAGTGACATCTTGTTCATCTCAGAAGGGCTTTTCATCTTTCACAAAGGAAGGTTAGGGCATGGTCTTATTTTTGTAGTGAAGCTGAAGCACAGAAAAAGGAGGGAGTTGTTAGTGCTAAGCATCCCTGAGTGCAGCCAGCATCCCATGGTGCGTGCTTCCTGTCCATTCTGCTGCAATCTTGAGGGGCTTCCAGGTGGTCCCAAAGCCACCGTGCATCCCCTGGTGCAATCAGAAAGGCCACCCATCATGGAAAAGCAATTTGCTGTCTGCCGATGATTGCAAAGCAGAGCAGAGAGGCTCAGGGTGTGAGTGACGGGTCATTTGTCACCAAAACCACTTTCCTTTGGGCAAGGTGGGTGCTTGGGCTGAGCCCTACAGCTCTGTGTGCTGCAGCCAGCCTGCCTGCCTCCCCCAGCGCCTGAGCACCAGCACCTCCTGGCTCAGCCCTGTGTTATTCCCCCCTCTTGGGTGATATATCTCCCTGTGTCTTCATACAGACCTTGTACTTGCATTTGCCTGCAGCAGAAGCAGTTTCTACACTGGAGGTGGCTGCTGATGGCTCGGGAGCAGCAGATGGAGGCTGTGACTGTAGCACAGAGGCAGCTTTATTTTCATCTTGCTTGGGGTCTGCATATCCATTCTGTGTTTATACATCACTGAGCCTCCCTTCCTCAATCTCTGCTATGGGGATAGCCAGGGTCAGAGAACAGACATTTTTATACAGACACAAAAAGCCCTTTGGATGAAATTCTCGCTGAAAGGGATAAAACCCATTTGCCTCTTAAAAAAAAAAAATAAAAAAATCTCATTTTCTTTAAGTGCCAAAGTGGTTTGCTCAGTAAGTCCACCCGTCTGTCAGATCACATCGGTCCATGCTGAGCATTGCGGTGCCACTGGCAGAGCCGTGGCACTGTCATTGACACTGGTGCTGGAGATGTGCATGGCAAGGATGCAACCCACTCACTGTGGAGCTCAAAGGGCAGAGAGAAATTGGATGTGATGCACAGTGAGGGCATTTCCGTGAGCTGGGTGAGAAGGCAGCAGCTGAAGGACTCGCTGTTAGCTGAGCTGCACTAGTTCACCAGCACAGGGTGTGCATGGCTCTGTTTGTGCTTCTGAGGAGGTTTGAGCTGCAGTGTGTTAATGTGAAAGTGATTGATGCCCAGCCCTGGGCTCGCAGACCTTTGGCAGGCTGGTGCTGGGATGGCTGAGGGGCCAAAGCTCAGCTGTGCTGCTCCTGTTTTACAGGAGGAGTTTCTCTGGGTTGCTGCTGGGTGTGATGGAGAGGCAGAGAGCCCAGCTTTCATCTTGGAGACCTCCAAACTTTTCTCCTCTTTCCCTCCCTCCCTCCCTCCTTAATTTGAGGGGGTTATATTTTAAGCGGAGAGCTGAAGCAGTCTCTTATTCTCTAGAGGTCTTTCATTCTGGTTTCCTTTCCTTTCCAAAAAGGAAGCTGCTTACTGTTTCTGCTGCTTGGGGTACCCAGATGACATGGGACTAACAATGCTATGGCTGATGCAGTGGCACTTTTGCTCATGTCTGGGGCAGTCCAGCTGCACTCGTTCATGGATCCAAAGTGATTTCCCTTTCCTAGTTATGTATATGAAGCACCTCTCCCTTTGAGAACCATCCCCACCGCAGGCAGAGACAACCCAGACTTGCTTTCCCTGGACATGGATCTCCCAGCACCCACACTGAAGCCATGCCAGGGATACCAGTGCTGCTCAAGCATAGAGAAGATGGCATTGCTGGCCCTCAGCACTGGTTGCACTGGTTTTTCAGGGTGTGACAGCAATGGCTTCAGTGCTGCCACAGTGTCTTTAACCATTCTGCTCTTCCTCTTTGCAGAGCTACACCAAGAGTGCTGCCTTCATTGTCACCCTGCACCCACTGCAGAACACCACCACTGACTTCTGGAGGTTGGTGTATGACTATGGCTGCACTTCCATCGTTATGCTCAACCAGCTGAACCAGTCCAACTCTGCCTGGGTGAGTGCTGCCAACAGCCCTGCATGCAGCTCTGTGCTGCCTTGACGTTGGGTTGGCACTGCGTCATAGAACCGTAATCTTTGCAAATGCCCAAAGGAGATGTAATTTAACAGGACAAAGGAAAGTTTGGGGGATAAAGAGTTGATTTTTATTCTCTTTTTAGAAAGGGGAAATTGAGGCACGGGGCATTTTGCTGGTTCACACAGAGTTTTTGGTTAAGTTTAGCTCAAAACGGGGTTCCCCTTGTTCTTCATGGAAGGCTACACCACCAGGAACGTACTTTGCTAGTGAGGTGCATCCTTCCATCCCTCACCTGCAGTGAGCAAGTTGCTGGTTTCATTGTGCTCAGTCAGCCCCTTCAGTGCTTTGCTCTGGCAGCGTTTCGGTGCCAAGCTGTCCAGTGCTTGTCTTCCAAAAGACTGGTGGTTTGTGAATGCTGCTTTATAAATCAGCCTGCTACAGAGTGGGTGTCCTGCAGGTTTGTTGTGTGATGGGATGTCCAGATCTGCTAAGCAAGAAGAGAGATGTCTGCTGTCACCTGTAGAGAAGGGACAGAAGCCCTCTACCAAGGAGACTGGGGAGGTGCAGCTGTGCCACATCCACAGCAGATGTAAAAGTCCACTCTGGGTCTGTAATGTTAATTCAATGAGGAATCTTAGTGGATTTTTACATAAAATTAGCATTATAGACACATAATGGCTGTCGGAGAAGACTTCATTAGCTGGCTAATTTTACAAGGTGAGACCAGATACACAATGTAAACGACCCCGAATGGCAGTTATACCATTTGTCACAAGGATGCCATGAATGGAGCACCGGTCCTGTGTTGTGTGGATCCAAGAGCTGGACACACACAGCTCACATGGTGCTGTCTCTGCACCATAATCACGCAGCAAAAGCATCAGCTGTCAGCTGAACCCAGCTGTAAGGGACCACAACAGCAGTGGGGAAAAAATATCCAACATTTCATTTCTTTCTCCCCACCTGTTCTTTCATTCCCAGTTCAGAAATGCCCAGCAGGAGCTGCCTGTCCCCTGCAGCCTGGCAGGACAGCTGCTATCCCACAGCACCATCCTAGCCAGGACTGTGCCATATTTCTTCATTATTCAGCCCTGTTTCTCTCTCTAGACATCTATTCTTTAGGGATGTCTGCGTGTAACGATATTTAGTTGGATCTTAAATGTTTACCAGTTTAGGACCAACAGCTAATAAATCAGCCTTTACAGCAGGCAGCTTTGAAAGGTGACTTAGAGGGTATATCCCTCACTTGAACTGTGTCTTGCCGAAGGAAGTTTTAATATCCAAATTATAGCTCTGAGTCTAGAAGGCTTAGAGATCTTGGAGATTTATAGCCCCTATTAATAACCAATTATTTCTCAAACACATTTGCCATGCAGTTAGGCCCAGGCCGTTAGATGGCCTGAAATGCTAAATGTTCTGTTAAAGTGTGGTGACAAACATCATATATTTTGTATCGCTGCTGGTTTCCCAGCTGTCATGGTGTGAAAACAATTGCATCCGTGACCCTTGGCCAGAGCCATCCATCAGTGCCCTGCAGGACGTGGGAGGGAGCAGGAGCTGCTCTACAGCCCTTCCTTGTTGCCAGCTGATGGTAGTGTGACTTTGGGATGGTCCTGGCCATGGGTTGAGGGCCACTGGCGTGCCATGTGATGGCTAAAGCTACACTGTGCCTGTTCTCCCTGCAGCCCTGCCTTCAGTACTGGCCTGAGCCTGGGCTCCAGCACTATGGCCCCATGGAGGTGGAGTACGTGTCAGGAGCAGCAGATGAGGACATCGTGTCCCGTCTCTTCCGAGTGCAGAACATCACCCGGGTGAGGCTCTCTCTGGTTTTGGGGCTCTCCTCGTTGGGTGCCAGAGGAGTTTTCTCCTGTTCTACCTCCTGATGCCCTGAATATTTCTGAACATGAACCCCCCCACGCATCTGCCAGGCTGGAGTCTGTTCCCATTCAGCTCCACGGATGTAATCCTCCTCTTGCAGCCTGCTAACCAGATTTGGGTTTCCCCACTAACCAGCTTACTGGGGTATTAAGGCATGGTGCCAACACTCCACCCCTCTGTGGGCAGCAGCTCCTTGTGAACCTCCTGGCTTCCAGCAGACACAACAATCACACCCCTGAGGTCCTTTGCATGCAAGATAAGGATCTGATGGAGGAGCCCTGGAGAAGCTGGGGGCTCTGCTGCCAGGTTTTGTGAGATTCAGACAGCTTGAGGTGCTGCTGGTTAGGATAAACCACATTGATGGAGCTGCCTGGAGTAGTGGGTCCATTAGGTTGGGGTGAGCTGTCAGGGAGAGGGCTCAACCATCCATCTTGTTGCATTAGGAAAAGTTTTTTCCCCTTTTGCTGTACAGTTAATACATGACAAACACGGCTTGCCCTCCATGAAACCTCCAGCAGAGACAAAAGAAGGCTCCCATGGCTTAATGCTGATGATGTTTGCTTTTCTAGCTGCAGGAGGGGCACCTGATGGTCCGGCACTTCCAGTACCTGCGGTGGTCGGCGTACCGAGACACCCCAGACTCCAAGAAGTCCTTCCTGCACCTCCTGGCCCAAGTGGAGAGGTGGCAGAAGGAGAGTGGTGATGGCAGGACTGTGGTGCACTGCCTGTGAGTGTCAGCTGGAGGGCTGTGGGCTCTGATGTTGGGGAAGATGCCACCAGCTCATTTACCCACAGAAATTCTTCTGAAAATCCCATCCCATGCTGATTTTGTGCCCAGATGGGGCTGCCTCTTCCAAAACACAAGTTTGGGGTGAAGCATTCACTATGTCACAGCTCTTCCATGAGGTGTGTCCCCCCACCAACAGCAAGCAGCATCCATGATGTTCACCCTGGTCCCAGCCCTGTCCTCATGCCCCCTGCATGTCACAAGCTGCAGAGGGGGGTGTGAGGAGCTCTGCATCTCCCACTGCTGGCTGCTCACCAGGCACGTGCACTCCTCATCCCCTTCTCCCATACACGTGCTCTCCTCAGATGGGACCCAGCACGTTCACAGATCAGTAGAGACAGCAGGAGAGCCTTTAATCAAAAATTAATTATGGCTTTGCCCATCTTCATTAGCCGGAGGGTAATTTGAAAACATGCTTTATAAAACACCGGCGTCATGTTCGCTCATCCTCTCCCCAGTCCCCATCACTGTCAGGGATCAGACGTGGATGTGACGGATGGTTTCACTCCTGGATGAATGGTTTTGTTGCAGTGCTGGAAAAATGAGGCCAGCACCTCCAGCCAGTGCTACCCACAGTGCTCAACCTGGGGGGACAGGGCTGGGTCACCCTGTGGATAGCAAGAGGGTCACAGTGGGACTAGATGGCCTCTCCAGGGTCACTCAGGAAATTGGTCTGTGATTAAGAACAGAGCTCAGGTGTCTGAGCCCCAGCCCTGCTGGACCAAAAAGGCATTTTGTTGCTCTTACCTGGCTATTGCAAGGACCAGAGCGCAGGATCACAGCTCCTGTCACCATGTGGGAATCATCCATATCACCCAGTCTGTTGGGATTCTGTACTGGGAAGGAGGGGATGGAGAGAGACTGGGGGGGAACTGAATGGTGCATGAAGATGCTTGAAGGCCATCTTTGGACCTCACCATGTGCTTCTTCCACCAGGAATGGGGGTGGTCGGAGTGGCACCTACTGTGCCTCCACCATGATCCTGGAGATGATCAAGTGTCACAACATGGCAGATATCTTCTATGCTGCCAAGACCCTCCGCAACTACAAGCCAAATATGGTGGAGACCTTGGTAAGCAGCAGGCACTACCAGCATCCTGTTAACTGCTTCTCCCTTTGCATCCACCTTCCTGCAAGTCTCCAACAGCAAAAGGGGTTCTGGAGGATGCATGTACCCCAAAACGCTGTTTCTTTTGGGGCAGCTGCGGGCAGAAATCTTGTGCCCTATTCTGGGTCCCTGATGGCAGGGCTGGGGCAGGAGCAGCACGTCTGTCCCCACATCTCCAGTGCTGGGCTGGTGCCTGGCGGTGGTTCAGAAGTAAGCCAGCTGGAAATATTTACCCCGCTTGGATTATGAAATCTCTAAGTTGACAAACGCAAATCACATCCCCCTCAAATCACATCCCCCTCTAAACCCTTTCATTAGGAATTAAATTGAAGGGGAAGGTGAGGGAGGGTACCGGGGGGGTGCAGATAATGGAAAGATGATGTGACAAGCATGAAGCCACCAGGCCCATTGGGCTAAATTACCGAGGTATTAAAAAGGCAACATTTCACATCAGGACACAAGCATTCTCCAGGCTCAAATGAACCTGAAACAGCTATTCTGGGAATCCCAATCTCCTGGAGCCACTGGAGGCCAGATCCTCCCCCTGTGTATGAGTGCAGGCCTGCAGAGAGCAGCCGGAGCGGAACAGTTCCCTCTGGATCCAGCCTGTGCATCTTCCCCCTCTGTGTGCCTGTGGGGTTTATTTTTATATTATGATAAATTGAAACAATCTCTTTTCTTAATCCTAAAGCATTATGTGCTTTTAGTCTAAGCTGCCCCAGCCTCCCTACTTTGAAGCCCCTCTTCCTGCTCCCACCTGGGGATAATGGGATTTTTTGTGCTGGTGCTTCAATCTGCCCTATCTGTGCTGCTGCTGTGGATTTGGGGAGGTGAGCTCCCTCCCTTTCCTCCAGGCTCAGTCTTCCCTTGCACCCAGGATGCTCCCATCCAAGAGCATCTGAAACCTGGCCTTGTGGTGGTTTTGCACCTTCTGGCTGTTTTGCTCATTGGATGCTTGAAAGAGCAACATCTCACTGGGAGGGGCATTTCTGATGTCTGTGCTACCCTACATTTTTGTGTGCTATAAATTGCACGAGAATGGGAAGGCACAAGAGCAGCTCACGTAAATGAGGACAAGGATGGACAAAGCTTATGATCTCAAACAGGGATTTTTGCTATGATGTCAAGCTGGCCATGCTGGGATCTTAACTCTCTCCTCTACCCCCATACAGGAGCAGTATCACTTCTGCTACGACATAGCACTGGAATACTTGGAGTCCCTGGAGACCAGATAGCACCTCGCCAGGAGGGCAAAGGCAGAGGTTTGCTTAGGGTTTGTGCCAAACTCACATTTCTGCACTTGTGTCAGTGCTGAAGGAGAGGAGGGGGAAACAGCAAAGGACCACAAAAGGACACAAATCAGGAGCAACAAAAGGACCTGGGGAGGTGCTGCCTGTTCTCCATCCCCTGCTCTCCGCCTTCCCTCCCACTGCTCCAAGTGCATGGCCAATGGGTCAATGCTGCATCTCACCTCATCCCATCCCTGCTGCGATGTGGAGTTGGTGAGCACAGGAAGTGGCCCTTCAGCACTGCCTGGGCCTGCTCAGACACATCTGGAACAGCTGGAGAAGACCCCAAGGAAAGGAGAGGACGGAAGGATGCAAGCCTGTTTTGGCTGGAGGAATATTTGGGAAAGAAGATCTTTTAAAAATCGTATTTGGAGATGAAGCTGCTCTTCAAGGAGCCCCAGTGGTTCCGGTGTGTTTTGCTCTGCGTGGGGACTCTCTTTGCACTGGAGCAAAGCCCCTGAAGGAAGCTCACGGATTTGTCTACTTAACACAAGCTTGGTTTCCACTGTTGTGTTTCTGTGAATTGTGTCCTTCGTGCATCCAGCCCTGGACAGAGGGGGACCCTGGGATGGGAGGCAGGGGATGTGTGATGTCCCTGATGGGGACCAGCCCAGAGCTCTCTCTGTGTCCTTTCCAAGCTGCAGCAGTGATGTTTCTCCTATGGCATGTCTGTCTCCATGCAGTTTTCTCCATCCATAGTAATTATTCCTTCCTGGGGGGCTCTAAGAGCTGGTCACACATTCCTGGTGCCCACCCAGAAGCCCGGACCCTAAAGGCAAAATCACAGGGCTGATGTTTGAAGGCATCTGATGCCTTCTGCTTTCATCCTGTTGCAGGCAGACATCAGGTGCAGTGTTTGCTGTTTTATCTGGAAAAGCCAGGTTGTCATCAGGCAACGGGAGCAAGCTGTGGTGAGGGCTTTCTCTCTCCAAACAGCTCCATAAATGCACAGTGAAGGGATGCAGGTTTGTCTTCAGGAGTTGGGGATGCTGCTTATCTCGGAGGCTGAGCGCAACCCTTTGTCAGTCATTTTTTGGTGAAGTAGAGGAAAACAGATGAGAAACCAGCATCCTCATGCTGGAAATTGCACGTGGGATCCACATCTTTCATTGCCATCTGCCCCGGGCAGCAGAACCTTTCCACCTTTGCTGCCTTCATACCTACATCATGATCCAAAGCCCAGCAGATGCTGTTTGGTTGCACCAGTCTGCAGCGTGAAGATTTCAGAGCCAAAGTGGCTTCTCCAAGGATGAGCAAACCCCTGAGAAACTTCCAGCTGCTCTCCAAGGGTGGAAGGTGAAAGGCCACAAGATAAATCTCTCCCTTTGGAGAGGATTTGCCTGCGTACTTGGCTCACCCACGTCCTTGCTGAGTAACTTGCACAGCTTGACAACACTTTATCCAAGGGCTATGCAACACATCCCCCTTTGTTTCCATCCTTGCTGTGTGCCACTGTTGCCTTGTGACCACGCAGTCTCATTGCTCCAGTTGGGGGTTGGTAACACAAGTGCTTTGGGTGATGCTGGTGCTTTCATTGCAGCTGCTGTGTGAGGTTGGTCAGCATCCCCTTCTCTCCAGCACCATGTCCATGCTGCCCAGGGAATGCAGGTGCTGTATGGGATTGCTGCTTGCAGATGAAGTTTGGCCAGAAAAAAAAAAAATAGTAGTGGAAAGGAAAAAAAGGTTCTAAACCCCATTTAGTCCTGGGGAGAGAGAGCAGAGAATGGAGGAATTGCAGATGTGTTTCAGACGTGAGGGTTTGTTTGTTTGTTTTCTTTTTTGTTTTTAATATTTCCTTGCTGGATGTCTCTGGGTTTTTAGGACAGACTTTGGAATCAAAGTGCTGTAGAAATGAACGCATCTCCAGCCTCTACTGAGATGCTTACGTGACAAGAGGCGAGGGCAGCCTGTACATAGGAATATATATAAAGAAATATATATATATATATAAAAATATAAATACTGCTCTTAAGATGGATAATGTTTATTGGTATTACAGGTTCGAGTGGTGCTTTTATTTTTTCCCTTTATAGTGTCTCCATGGAGGGGACATGAAGGACCCAGGTTGGGCACAGGAGGGACATGTTTGATGTGGGTTGTACCACACACATCCAGCTGTTGCTGTTTCTTTGGTTTGGATTATTATTATTATTATTATTTTTTAATTATTATTATTTTTGGCTTTCTTTCCTTTTAAGAAAATCAGTTGCATAAATAAATGTTCCAAATTTGTGATGGCCTGTGGCTTTCTCATGCTGGCATTGGGATGGGACTTTGAGGAACCTGGTGCAGAGGGAGGCGTCCCTGCCCTATAGCTGGGAAGGGGGCAAGGGGAAGGGAGAACTAGATGATAAAGGTCTCTTCTACCCCAAATCATCATATGATTAAGAGGGAGAAGAGGAAAAAACAAACAAAAAGAGGTATAGTCATACCTTGGTTTGTGCAAGGATGTTTCTGGGAACCAGATACAAGGCCAGGTGCTGGGACAGCAGAGCCTTCCTGGCATGGAGCATCAGCGCTGCTCCACAGAGCCCCAGCTGGAATGGAGACAAGGCTGGGAAAGGTGCACAAAAGCAAGGAGGGACTTCCAAGGCCTTTCCCAGCTGAACACCTGTTAGAAGGAAACCTTTCTGGAAAAGAAAGCTTCTGCATTGTCCTGGGTGATTTATCTATTACAGAGCAGCCTTTGGTTTAATGTGTTGTGATATTAAACACTTCCAGTAACACTTGAGTCTTAATTTAATGGAGACCAAGGGGGAAAGAAAAAAAAAAAAAAAAAAAAGAAAAAAAAATCTAATTGACTTGTCAGGACTGTTTTTCATCTTTAATTAAGGTTCATGAAGGATGCAGTAATTAGATTTGATCAATAAATAATAAAAAGGGGGCTGATGCAAAATGAAACCTGGAAGCACTGCTGGGAAGGGTTGTGTGTCCCCCTGGCCGGGGGGGGTCTGTCCTTGACTGCATGCCCCCAGTGTCTATCAGCAACCAGGAACAGTGCCCTGTGTCCCACACTGCAACTCCAAGGGTTGTGGTAGACAAAACCTAGAGGAGGAGGAAGATGCTTTGCTCAGCTTGGGGAAACTGGAGCTTTAGCCACAAGCAAAATGCAGGAGCACATTGCAATCATGCCTGCTGTTACTGCACGAGCTGCTGATGAAGATTCTATGAGATCTGTTGAAATATCTCTACATTTTGACTTGTAGGACAAAAAAAATAATAATAATAATCTCAAATTGAGCCATTTCTATTTAAAAAAGAAACAGATCCCCAGGGGAGAAGATAGGAGTTAGCAGTGATGCTGATATTCATTTTTTGGAATGGGGCTGTGGAGGGATGGGGAGCAGGGACCAACACGCCCCCAGTGCTGGTGATTTAAGTTGCTTTAATGGTGCTGTAATCTCTATGCCAATGGTGTCACCTCTAAATGTGCCATCAGAAGGCTCAATGGGAAGAACTTGTATTTCGAAATAAATATTTCCTCGCGGTGTGCAAAAATATCTAATCATGTATTTATCCTTAAGTACTTCCAAAAGTCAACATAATTATTCTAGTCCCATTAAGTTTAATTTGCAGTAAATTATGCATTTAGCTTTAAGTTGAGGTTGCTGGTTAGAGTCAAGATAAAGCTCTCGCTATTTATAAAGCAGTAATTCAGCACGGCTATCAAATACAAATGGTTAGGCATGAAAATCCTGCTTAGGAAGTTTGGAGTTTCAGATGGAGGCAGAGACAGAACTGGGCTGAAAGCAAACACACAGCATTGCAGGGAAAGGGCTCAGGGTGCGCTCTGCAGCACAGGGCCTGTGCTGGCATCTCACTGTCCCCTTAGGGATGACACCCCTGCTGTCCTTTGCTGCTCTGCACAATGCTTAGCAAAGCAGGGTTTGCTCAGGGCTCAGCTGGTTGGGGAGGCTGCCAGGTTTGCGAGAGGAGCACTCAACCATATCAGAACTCTGGGCCTCCTAAGGGACAGCCAGAGATGAATGCACCTGAAATTAGCAAGGACTTTGGAAGATGACACCCTGAAGCAGTCCTGCAGAGGCACACGGGGCTGAAGCAAGGTCAGCAGCACGATGCAGTCATCCCTGCAATTTAGGATGCTATACTCTACTGCAAGCCTGCAGGTTGCTGCTACAAGATCAATGCGTGGATAGTCCATTCCTGGATGGCCCAGCACAGGATCTAAAGAGTGAGCCCCAGTACACAGCCCAACTGTGCAGGTATTCAGGGTACCATCACCGAGTTCCTTGGTTACAACCACCTACACGGCTCACAGTTCTGCACATTGGCTACTTTGACCATCCCCTCTTCAAACCAGATTCTTTCAGTGGTGGGATGGTATGCCACTGCTCTCCACTTGCTCAGGTTACCCTTGTTGAACCCATCTGTATACCAGACATCTTCAGGAATGGGGTATTCCTCTTCCTGAATGGGTCTCTTTTCTGGTGGAGTGACCATCGTCTCTTCTAGTGCATCACTATGATACGTAATCAAGTCTAGGATCTTCTGGAGTTCTTTCAGAGGTGATGAAGACAGAATACTCCTCTGGCTGAGATAAGTAACTCATCATGCCAAGCCCAAACACAGCAGCTGAGGAGGCAGAAACAAAGGAAGAAAAAATTCTTACCTTTAAAAGATCACTGGTAGGCAGGGATTTCCAGTGAAATACTCTTATTTCCACTGCCAGCCTTTAAATGAGGGCTGGGAAGGGCTGGATCCTGACTCCACCTCTTGTGGTCACTCAGCTGCATTGCTCACACCTGGGTTGAGCCCTGCCTTCCCACCAGGTGCTCCATCACTGCTCAGGCTGTGATGCAGCACTTCTGCTACACTTGAATAGCACATTCTTCATTTATTCATTCATTGGTTTGTTCCTTTGTTCATTCAGCCAAATCATCTCTGGGTACTTTGCCATCCACTGTTATGGAGCTTTATGGACAATCTCAGTGCTCTGTATCTGTTGTGGTTTTCTTCCACCCAGATCTCAGGGGAGCTGCTCAATGCCCGAGCCACCAAAGCTAATGGGGAAGTGCTACTTTTTGAGGCAGCCACGTGTCTGAGAGCAGCACCACAGCTCCCTGCAGCCCTGTTTGCATCCTCAGCCCTGTGAGCCTGCAGGACATGGGGATGGAGGAAGGCTGGGCTGAAGCAGGGGTGAGGCGCTGCATCCAAGGTCATACGGCTGCTCACTGCAAAAGCCAGGAGTTGCACACCCAGCCCATGGTAATCTTCAGGCCAGGCCATGATATCATGATACACACCTGCTATCATATCATATCCCTCTTTTTTTTTTTTTGCTTTCTCTTTCCCAAGAGCTTTTGGAGGCCGTCAAGGAAAACAAGAGGTGTTTGCAAGGTTAAGAGAGTCAGTGTCTAAGCGTACTGTAAAGGTTTGCAGTAATTTACAGCTGTAGGCAGCAAGCACTCTTTGTGGGGGGAAGGGAAATGCAATTTAAGAGAACAGAAATAAATAAGGAGCTGCAGCAGCTAACACTCTCTGATTTAATCCTCAGCCCATGAGAAAGATTTATTCTGTTATCTGACAGTTTGATCACTCCACGAATCCCGTAGGTCAGCCCATATCTGCTGTTGTTATCTCTGGGCTGCTCCCAGTGTGGTGCATGGGGAAGATTCGTTAAAGGAATGAGCCAAAGAGGGGCTCTGATAAGTTACAGATGGGAAATCCAGAGATCTTTGGTACAGAGGAAAACTATGGGATGCAACCACACAACCGCCTGAGATCTTGTTTAGGCAGGAAGGGCCAAGGCCCTTCAGGAAGGAGGAATCTGCTGCCTGCAATGGGGCTGGGAGAGCTGGAGGCTCCTATGGCTTTGGTCTGGGGGAGCAGGAAATCGTGGCTGTGGGCTGTGTGCTCATAGACAAAGAGTTTCCAGGAAAAGGGAATTTGGTTGCATGTTGAGGGCAGGTTTGCTGCCTGTATTGCAGTGCTAACATCAGCTCTTACAATAAATCCCTCGTCTTGAATGCAGGCACATGCCCTAGCATGCTCCAGCATTACAGAAAGGCAGGCAGTGTTGGCATGGTTGAGATCTGAGGGATTGTTGGCTTCTGCTCGTTAAACTGGCATTAATTTACTGGAGAGATCCCAGTTTCTGCCCTGGAGCACCATTGCAGTGTTCCATGATCACCGCCTGCCTCTCATCCCTTGCTGGGACAACTCTTCTGAGCTATTAGTGCAGGTCCAGGAAAGATTCCCTTTTTTTTTTCTTTCCCTTCAAAACCAGCAGGAAAACCACTTGTACAGGTGCTGGGCCGGGGGACTGGTTGGAGGAGATGGGTGTGATGGAGAGCTGGGCACAACTCACGCACTGACAGGGGTTCGACCCCAGCTCCTGAGTTCCTGAGTGAGGAAAGTGTCACTTCAGTGCATCTTGGCTTAGAAGCCAGAAAAAACAAGTGGGAAACACCGTCATTAAACCCCAAGGCGATGAGACGCAGGTTGAAAAGCAACCATTTCCCAGCACCCTCCCTCCTCTTCCATTGCTGTTTAATAACTTCCCGGTGCAATGTGTGCATTTTGCTGTCAGAGCTGTCTGGGAATGGCACCAAAAAGCCACAGGAGTTTTCCTATGTGATCAGGCACATCGCCACAGAGACATATGCAGAGGGAAAGGCAGCCTGCACCAACAAACAGAGTGCAGACACAAACAGACACAGATCAACAGGCTCACTCCCAGCCAGCCTGAAGCACAGGCACATGCACAGGTGTTAGCAAATGTGTGCAGAGATGTGCATGTGCACACATGGATGCATGGGTTCTCCCTTTCCCTGCAGCTGCATGCACAGAAGTGGGGCACAAATGTCTGAAACGTGCACGGTCCTCTAGATGCATTGCTTGGCATCACCTTGGGTTGGATTTCTCCAGTCTATATGTTGCCAAAATGCAAAGCTGCAGTTGGTAACTAGCTTGTCCTTGCCCAATGTTGTGGCTTTTATGGACTTCTTTGTTCTGTGCAATGCTATTGACAGTACAAGGGGGTGGGCAAAACGCTGCTGGCCAAGGAAAAGTTTCAGGTTGGGGATGGGGATGGGGATGAACACTACTGCAGCAGCACAAGTTTCACAGGCAAACGTGCTGAGGTCTCATCCTGGGTTGCTGTCCTGGAGCAGAGCAGGCCTGGGTGCTGCACTGTCATCTGGGCTCAAATCTAAGACCCAAAATGTGACTTCGTTTCATAAGGGAAGGAGCAAAAAAATGCTGAAAATTACC